TTAGCATATGCACACGTTACATTTCTTTTCTTTTCGTTTTCCTTCTCACATTTTATTTTCAATCGAAAAATTAAAACTAGAGTGCGAACAATGTGCAATAAAACGAACAGAAAAAAATGGGCAAAGAAACCAGTCAAAATAAAATGTTTATGACGTTCATTTTTCTTGACACTCGTCGTACATTGCGTCGTTTTGTTTTCGTTTTCTCTCTGTCCGCTTGTTTCTAAGGCAATGTGAAATGCAAATTTTTCGGTTGTTTTTTGTTGTTGCTGTATGCTGTTCGATTCAAGGTATGCGCTCGGTCACTTTTTCCGGGCTGCCCGTTGATTCCATTCCATTGAGAAACCGTTGACGAACGTAATGACGCTAATAGCAATAACTGTCGTATGAATGCTAATTTTATAAATAATTCTACAGTGTCCGCGACCCGTCATCAGCGCCAGCATATGCTGCATGAAATCGATGACAAATTTTTTTATTTTGTATTCTAGGACAAGCTGAATCACCGTTTCGTGTACGCTTTCTTGTTATTGCTGCTGCTGTTGTTGGGTTTTGTCATTTTCATTCGTCACAAAATTGTTTTTCGTGTGGAATTTATGTTATCAAATTTTTATAATCGAAAAAATGCGAAGAAAGTGATTTCGTATGCACGGCACATCAATCGATTAGTTTCTATTCTACCAGTTTTGGCGATTAGACTTTTTCCAAAATAAATGCGGTCAATGAAATGCAACTGAAGAAAGACGGGTAGATTCAGGGTTTTTTACAGGCAATAAATCTACCGACCGAATAAAAAACCCGTGGGCTGAAATCACAAGATGCAGTTGAACTCGTTGTGCGTAGAATTTTAAATCGAAATAACTTTTCATTTCGAATAGATGGGATTTCTCTCTTTTCTTGTTTTATTTTTGTTTTTTTTTCTCTTGGTTTTACGATTTGACGACAATTTGAAAACAAACGAGAGAGAGAGAGAGAGAGAGAGAGAAAGAGATGTCGAACATGTACCATTATATCAACTTTCGCCTTTCCGAAAGATAAAAACTATAAAATCGACAAAAATGGATGGTATATGTTATCTGATCACATTGAATGAACTCTATGTCAATTGTCCGGCCAAAAATAATTTCCTTTCTTTTTGCTCGCGTTTCGTTGCCGCGGCAGCATAATCATTTTATTACCTTACGCATTTCAAGCTGCTGAAGCACGTGCCACGACGAGCAAAATCAAATCATACACACACACAGTGTGTAGTGTTCTTCAGTTCGCTGTATGGAAGAAAGTAAATGAAAATGACATGACTGTTTGCAATCGAAAATGTTTTCATTATATAGATAATAACTTAATAACTTGCTTACATATGTTAACGAAGAGGAAAACAAATCAAGCTGTTTTTTGTCGCTTGAATATGATAGATGAAGCAAAAATCATGTGTATACTTAATTCAAACCATACTCAAAATGCGTGGATTTATTTTTATTTGATTTCGTTTCGATTTTGTAAATTCAGAACCATTATTATTGATCATATTTCGATTATTGACGCATTATTCTCAATCATGCTGAGATAAAGTAAACAGTGGTACAACAATCAGTACCGATTGCAACACAGTGATATCTGGAAAATGTAAAAAAAAAGATGAAACAAAAATGGCTTTGCAATTCTCATACAATATATTTCTAAAGATGAAAAGATTTATTTATTTTTCCCCAATTGGATTTCTTCTTCAGAAAACCAAGAATATGAATAGTCTCTTCAATGCGTTCCGCTTTGAATAAATCTTTAAAACAGCTTTTGGCAACGCATCCATGGCACTGCATCCTTTAATTGACCTTACATTAATACGGAAAATAGAAAAAGAAAACTGAACGTTAATTCTTCATCCATTCTATTTTTAATGAAAATTGTCAACAAAACTTTTTTTAAAACAAAAACCAATCTCAAATTTTTTCAATTGACTGAAGGAAAGGGGAGTTTTGGGCATGTTGTGAGGTTTCAACCAAGTGAAATTGGGTGACTTACGCCCAAAATACATCTATCTATGAATTTAAAGTTATTCGTAGCGAGAAATCGTTCAAATCAAATCATGCACTAATTGATTTTAATATATTGGAAATTCAATCGGTAAATAGTAAATTCTTGTTTTGCATTTTCTATCGCCATAATGATAATGATGATAATAGTACCAATGAAATTTTTGCCTCGAATTTAATCATGTATTTGTCTGTGGAGACTTCAACGCAAATTTCTTTGATAAAAACAAATACTTAAAGATAAGGGTAATAAGCGAAAACTTATATCGAATCAATGATGAATGTCCAACATACATAGCGGGTCAATTTAGACCGTCTCAGTTAGATTTTTATTTCACGAAAAACAAAGATGATGTAATAAATTTTGGTCATTTCACGACACATGGAATATCTAATCATGTTGCTATTTATGCAATATTTAACATTTTACCGCCCAAAAAAGAAAAACAAACGTATAGGTCACGAAACTTTAATAAATATGACGACAATGAAGTTGAAAAATTTGCAATTTTAACAAACTGGGCAAAAATCTACTCCACACAAAACGTTGAAGAGAAAACTGAAATTTTCTACGATTTTATGAATGAATTTATGGAAAAAATCTTCCCAATGCGTGAAATTACTACTAAATATAAGCCAATTCCATGGATGAACGATAAGATTAAAGAGAGCATGCACATTAGAAAAACGTATTATGACATCTGGAAAATCAACAGGAAAAAATGTCCTAATGATCGAAACTTATACTTAAATTATCATAAAGCTGACAATGAAGTTAAAAGACTCATTCGACAAGCAAAGAAAAATACAATAGTTGACAGCTTCAATAATGCCGAAAATCCAAATGACAAATGGAAAATTATTCATTCATTTGGAATAACTAAAAAATCGAAAAAACAAGCACAGACTGATATTGATTTGAATGTGGACATTAATGAGCTAAACAATGAATTTACAAAACTGAAACCGCTCCCGGAACTTCATATCGAATTAAATGAGTCAAAGTCAATTTTCACATTTGAACCAGTCGATGCAAGTCTAATTGAAGATGTAATTATGGAGATAAAGAGCTAGGGAATGGGTCCAGACGGAATACCTCCGATATGCTACAAACTTCTAATTAATTATATCACAGAACCAATTGCTGACATTATAAACTGCTCATTCGCAACCAAAAAATTTCCCATCCATATTAAAAAACATTATGATAACACCAATTCCAAAGGTCGATAACCCTACCATCTCACAATTTAGACCTATTAGTAATGCAAATTTTCTTCTTAAAATTGCATCGAAAGTAACATGCTCACAATTAAACTCATACCTTGAAAATAATAAAATTCTAACTGAGCATCAATCGGGGTTCCGCAAAAATAGAAGCTGCACCACAACAATACTTAAAATAACTGAAGATTTCCACAAATCCATAGCTAAAAATAAATGCGTTGTTCTAATTTTGCTAGATTTTTCTAACGCATTTGGATCCGTTGATCATCAAAGATTACTACAAGTAATGCAATCGATTGGAGTACGTGGCGACTCATTCGAGTGGTTCAAAAATTTTATTTCGGGATGGAAGCAAACAGTAAAGCGGGGAAATAAATGCTCGCAACAAAATATAATTGAAAGAGGCATTGTCCAAGGTGAGAACAACTCACAATTACTATTTTCAATATTCATAAATAATATCGTTCATTATGTGGAAAAATTAAATATTGCACTATTTGCCGACGACGTTCAATTATATATCGAATGTGATATTGATGAGCTCGAAAATACAATTCAACTAATTAATTCTGAGTTGAAAAATATTGAGAAATTTTGTAATGATTATGGCCTTGATATAAATCCAAAAAAATCTAATGCACTCATCGTTTCATCGAATTTTAATCTCAGATACATCAATTATGACAAATTGCCGAAAATAAAAATCAATGATCAAGAAATAGAATATGTTGATTCGGCAAGAGATTTGGGTTATATCATTAACAGAAATTTGAATAATAATGATCATATCAAATCCGTTCTAAAGAAAACATATGGTGCATTAAATTCACTTCAACCATTGAAAAAAATGTTACCCTACGATGTGAAATTACAGCTCATTAAATCACTTATATTGCCAATCTTTGATTTTATGGATATTGTGTATCATGAATACGGCGTTCATGGAACAAATCAAGATAGTGACCGATTAGAAAAAATGTTAAACTGCTGCATTAGATTTGTCATGAACATAAAGCGAAGTGAGCACATAACATCACATCGAAATAAACTTGGGCTATTAAGTCTATATGATAGAAGAACATCTCATATAGCTAATATGATATGGAAAATAACAAACAAAAAAGCCCCTGAATATTTAAATGATATATTGCGACATAACGAAAATAATACACGATCCAAAAACAAACTCATCATACAAAAACCTCACTCAAACACTCATAAATCTAGCTTATTTATCGGTGGACCCAAGCTATGGAACGTCATACCAGATGAAATTAAAGAAAAAAATCTTATAAAAATTTTAGCAAACATTTCGAAAAGTATTTAATTAAATCATAGTGATGTATGCAAATGTTATTTTTTTTTTTCTTTTATCTTACTTTGTTATAAAATTACATATTTATTTTAATTTTGGAATTTTGATGTTAATAATTATGATGATATTTTTTTTATTCATATACACATAGATTTAAGGATGAAAATGTAAAAAAAAACAACTATAATTGGCCTTCGGGCAGCATGTATATGTTTTCTGAACAAATACCGAATCAAATAAAGAAATAAATAATAAATAAATATCTAACTCTTTCAATTTACAACAACTTTTTCAATACTTTCCATGAAATTATATATGAGACAAAATATGGAAAAATGTTTGATCAATTCTAATGAAACTGTTCATCAATATTGAAATATTCTCATAAATTTCTGAGCCTCTTTCTTTGCTGCTCCTCAAATACGAAACCTTAACCCTACACTTCTATTCAATGGGTACAAAAACGATAAAATGGTAAAATAATATTGATCAGCATTTTTACGTAAAAATGGGGTGTCTTATTTGTGTACCGATATTCCAAAGTTTGCTTTCAAGTATAATCATTTGTTCTCAATTACAAGGGCCTGTTCATTTGAATTATTGGATTTGACTTTCAGAAAGATTAAAACTATAAAATCGACAAAAATCGATGAATGGTACAGAATATGTTATCTGATCACATTGAATGAACTCTATGTCAATTGTCCGGCCAAAAGTGATTTCCTTTCTTTTTGCTCGCTTTTCGTAACCGCGGCAGCATAAACATTTAATTGCATTACGAATTTCAAGCTTTTGCAAGCACGTGCCACGACACGCAAAATCGAATCATTCAGACACACACAGCGTGCAGTGTTCTCCAGTTCGCTGAATGAAAGAAAGTAACAATGAAATAACATGATGACCGTTTGCAATCGAAAATGTTTTCATTAAACAGATAACAACTTGCTTACATATGTTAACGAAGAGGAAATCAAATCGAGCCGTTTTTTTTGTCGCTTGAATATGATCACCGAAACAAAACTATTTTATATAGTGTGTATAAATAATTCAGTCCATGTTTAAAATGGTGTGCGCGGTTTTATTTTCATTTTGTTCGCACATCTTTGGCTCATTGTTTTGTGGTGGCCGTTTTAATTGTTCAAATAGAAAACGAATGGAGTGTGTGTGTGTGTGTGTGTGTGTACTCACTCCACATGCAATTGGTACCACCATCAGTGGCACAAGAAGCTCCGAATTAACTAAAAATGCGTCGCGCACTTTGATTCATTGTCAATGCGTCGCATTACTTTGTCAAGTGAACAGTAATTAGCTCTCTTGTTCGTCTGTAGCAAGTGTTTCGATTCAGTCACGCGAATTTTTTTTTAAGATTCTTTCATCGTCTGTTCATTTTACTGAAGTGTGATTTGTTTTTTGGAAATATTCTGCGTGAATTTTGGTCGATTTGGTGCATGTGGATTATTCGAACAAACGGAGAACCATGGGGAAACTGCGAAGAAATTTATTCGTTTGCTTGTCAATTGTTTTGCTGAGTGATTTTGTGCTGAGTGCCAGTGTTGAAAAACAAGGGCTGAGTGCCAGTGCTGAAAAGCGTACCGATCAAGATTCGTATATTGATGCCCTGCATAAAACACACGCAGAGGATTCGTTGCATTGTGAGTGTAAAAATGGAATTTGCGAGAACTTTTTTCGGGTTTGATTTTAATTTGAGTTGTTATTTAAGCGCGTGGTGTCTATAAAGATAACAGCATCTCACCTGGGTATTTCTACGGTCCGCCAGCAAGTGAATACGGATCGCCAGCAAGTGAATATGGACTGCCAGCAAGTGAGTATGGACTGCCAGTTTCGACCGAATATGGTGCTCCTCCATCCAACAGCTATGGAGCTTCATCAGCACCCACATATGGACCACCCTCATCGTCTTATGGGCCACCGTCGTCATCTTATGGTCCTCCCTCATTTAGCTACCACTACGGGCCACCGTCATACAGTCGACCGGTAAACGTTTACAATTATGGTCCAGCGCCGCCAAAATTCCCCATCGTCCATAGTGCTCCTCGCGACGAACATTGGCTCTTCGATAAATTTAAGTTCAAGCTCGATCTCTTTACCATCGGCAAAATTCTCATTAAATTGATTATTTTCAAGAAAATCGTTAAATTCATTGCATTGATCTGTTTGCTGCTCTTCTTGCCACGATTGCAAACCAAGCAAATGAATATCGTTGACATGCTGGCCGGTGGCGATGAAAGTGAAGAATCAGCCGAAGAAAAGCGATCATTCGATATGCGTAAGTGAACAATGTGAAAAATTTAACATTTGATTTGTTACAGTGTCGGAAATTGCAATTGCACAGCTGCTGCTGTAAGAATTTGGCATTTTTCATCAAAAGATCGATTACATATTCAAAAACGGTGTGCTATTTTTAATATGTGAATGATTGTGATAATTTGTAGGTCAATCAAGACAGAAGCAAATAAACGAAGTGTCACGATTCGCAATGACAGCCATCGAATCGTTCACCGACAAACACCTGATAAAATGCGGCAACTTGAGTGATATTCCATGCCGTTTCCAATCAATGGTCGATAATATCGATGAGAAATACCCATACGAAAGGTAAACGTCCATTAAAAAAACAAATAACTAGTACAAACTTCTGTTAAACTATTTTTGAAATAGTAGGAACTGAACCGAGCTTTTTTTAAATTACAGAATTATCGAAATGTTTGTACCAATTAGCCAATACTATTTATATCCACCGCAAAATCCAAACAAAATGCGTAGGAAGCAGCTGAAACCACAAAATGCAGCATCGTTCAATGATGTGAACCGAACTGAAGAGAATATGCTCCAATCCGAACAGAGTTACGTTGAAAGTTCAACGCATCCATCGATAGCAACGACCCCACAGTATGATGAGCTATCCTTTATGTCATCATCATCGCCGTCAATCGATCACAGTAATAGCATTTAATTTTTCTAGTTAGTATAGCCCGTTGCTGTGAGGCATTATAACCAGATATAAAACACTGCCACCGTCTGGACTATTTTTAGGTATCGCATTGTGTTTGAACGGCATTTTATTAATGTTAGCCAAATACAGAGATAGCATGTAAATCGTAGATCGCGCCATATAAATCAATTTAACTACACCACCACATATGTCCAGCTACTATCCTCCTTTTTCTACCTTCGATTTCACTCCTATATACCAAAATTAAACAAATATATGTGTCACATTTGATCGTCACCAATTAACTTACAGATCCAAACACTAAAAACCGAATTACCATTACCCGAATGTCATTCTATGTAAGTTGCTAGCATATTTTTCTCTTAAAAAAACGCAAAATCGGTATTTAGCAATATATGCAAGTGTGTGTGCCTCATGATTTTTGACCTATTGTTTTCGAAATTCTGGTTTATATTCATTTCGATATTGTTTTTCATTCTTGTACGCTGGTGCTTTCGGTTTTCTATTTTCTTTCATTATCTATCCATCTCCCTCTCTTTCTCTCTCTCTCTCTCCGCCTTTTTCATACGTGTGTGCGCCATCTCTTTCTCTTGTATTTATTTATTCAATCATCGCTAAAGCATTTTTTATAATGATAATAATCTAATTTATATTCTAGAAGTGTAAAATAAATTATTTTTTCGTGTTGTGGAATACATTTTAAAAGAAAAACGCACTTTCTTTCGTTTCATTTCATTGTTTGTCATCGTCGTCGTTGTCGCCGTCATCGTCGTGTATTGGAACGCAAATAGCGCCCGATATTAGGTCGTAACGCACCAAAATCAAACAGGTAAGATTGTTTAACATACCGATGAGCTACTTGTGTCTTCAGCTGCTTTTGAGTCCAACACACTCGCTGTCCTTCTTTTAATCGCGACCAGAAATGAATCAATGCCATTGACAAATACCTCAAATTTTCAAATTGAAAAAAGAGAAACAAGAAAAAAAATGAAACCAACACCTGTTTAAGAGATGCATTTTCTAATTTATCATTTATTTACGTTCATTACGTATAGTTTGTGTTTTTCATTATTATATATATATATATATATATATAAAAAGTTCATTCGTTATTGTAATAAATATAAGATTTAAATTAATCATATAGAGTGTAAATAAAAATGAGAATTTAAACGATGTCTCCGTACGCATCGATCGTACTCGTATTTTATGATGATGAGAGTTTTTGCTTCAACTTTTTCATAAACTCTTTTGCCAGCTTATCGCCTTCGCGCAATTTCAGTGCATTTATGTGCGGACAATCTGTTGAAATGCGAGAATATGTTAGTACGGTATTGACATTTGATTGGATGATTTTGAAATAATTTTAAGCTTCGAAATCTTACCTGAAGTTTTTGGACGGCTCAATTTCAAGTGAACTTGTTCACCTCGCTGATCATTTGCTATTTCGTTGAATGGCAAGAAACATTCAGCTATGTATTGATTCGAAAAACCCAACAAGTCTCGATCTTTCACACTGAACATAATCATAGCCTTTTCAATCGATCGCTGATCGTTGCTTATTGGACTGCAAACGATAAGATTAACATGATCAAAATTAGGCGAATTGAATAATATATTGAAAAAAAAAAATGAATCAAGGAGAATGAATGACGTTCTAAAATTTAGCATACGAAACAAATCGATATAAAATCAATCAACACTCACATCACAAACTTCTCATCGAAAAGTGGGAATAATGTTTTGTTCTGAAAATTCGTTTTATACTTCGTTGTGACGCCGAATTTCTCTTCCGGACTGAATTGGATTCGTACAAATGGATCACACGTTCCATTACTGGCGATTGGCACCAAATTTCGGGCGTTGATTATTTCGATCTGTAGAAGATTGGTGACGAATATATTGAAATATTGAGAAAGACTTTCACGAAACAATTTCGTTTCAAAATATCGACAAAAGATGAAATATATGAAAAAAAAATAAAAGTCTAGCTTCATGCTGGCTCATACGTACCTCAATGCAATTATCATCTGAGAATCCGCATCGAACGGTTAGTTGACCGAATGTTGCATCTTCCATGGCCTGTTGTTCTTTATACCGTTCATAATAATACTGATGGATGAGATCGCTGGTTTCGTAGCTGTGCAACTGCAAAAGTTTTTCAGTTTCGGCGAGCGTTTCTCGTTCGACACATGTGCTGGCAGTATCGCCACATTTAAAGCTCTTTACCATGATGCGCAGGCTTTCGCGTAGATTACTGAAAAACTGTGGCGGTCGACGTTTCTGTGAATATACCAAGAGACGGATATTTATTTTAAAGTCGGCGAACAAACTCATGGGATCAATTATGACGATAAATTGAATCAAATTGGTTTGAATACTCAAACAATTCGCAAAATTTCACTTACATCTAAATTCGTTTGTACTAAATCCCGTAGAATGATGGCTAATTCTTCCCAAATGGCGGCTAAAATGCGTTCAAAATTGACTTCATTAAGTTCGGTGTTGAGTGTTTTCAGTGAATCCTCGAGGTACATCATGAGTCGATCCATTGAGTTAGAATCTTGATGCAATATTTCCGCTCCTTCCATTAAAAATTTACGCATCGGTGGACTCATTTTGCGGGCAACGATCTCAATCAATTGGACAATCTTATTTTCTTCGGTGTCGACGGCATTTTCGACGACATTTTTCAGTGTTTCCTCGCATCGTTGTGCTTCAGCTTGGCTTCGATATTCCGCCAACTTGGTGATGATTTCTTCGACTTTTAGCTCCTTGATGAATGGTGCCAAACTTTGGCGTATGTAGTCAATGTTATTTATGGCTAAACACCACTCTGGTGTCACTTCAAATTTGTTGCCATCGTAAACATCTTGAATATTGCCAAGGCCTTCGACGCGCGACGACATTGTGTCGGCATAGAAAACACAACAACGGCAAATGTCATCGACAATCTTTGCGATGAATGTGTAACATCCTTCAACGTCTGGCCAATTCAATTGTTGCCAGAATATTTTGATTTGATAGAATATGGAGAGCGTGTCAACAGCAGATGAACTGTATTTCACGGTATCGTCGACTGGCGTCAATTTATCCAATTCGATGGCCTTTTCGATGCGTTTCAATGCTTTGTACAATGAAATGTCCAACCAATGCGCCACACCACTTGTGAACCAGTTGTGATAATCGTTGATTCGGAACACAGTTGTGTCCGGGCAAATGGCGCTGCTCAGAGCAGCAAATCGTTTCAAGATCAAATACACTTCGAATAAAGTGGTGCCCATGTTGACTTCGTCATTTTCAGCAAACTGTTCACCTGGATTATCTGGCATTGATATCCGCTTTAGATGCTTACAAGCTCGTTCGATCGTCATTTGGAAACTCTCCGATAATTCCTTCTCGTAGTAAATGTAACAAATTGATGTGTAGTTGCATTGGACGCGGCTGAAATGTGGAAAAGAATTTGGTCAATCAGAGGTAATTTGAAAATTTGTGAGACTCAAAGAGACAAAGAGTTGAGTGTTAGGTGTTGAGTAGAGAAGGAGTACGATTGATTATGTAAGAAAATGGATCAGATTGCAAAAATATTTCCTCTATGGAACATTACTCTTTGAATAATTTGTCGTAGAATTCCAATCCTCGTTGCAAATCTGCCCGAACCAATTGCGTAACTTTGATCACATTCTGCAGGTTTTCTTCGTCATTATCCTGATTCACATCACGAATCTCGTTGATTTGGAACAAGTAATCTTGAGCACCGGATCGGATGGCTTCTTCCACTACGGTGTAAATGTCGAGCGACTTCATGTTTACGTTTGACTTATTAAGCCACCTGGTGAAAGAACACAAACATGAAAATTATCAATTTTCTTCGTTTAAAATATATTATTCTCAAGTGCTATTCCAAATAAAAGCCCACTAATATACATTTTAGCATATTTACCCGTAAATATTTTTCGAAAACAGATCGGCATCCTTTGGCGGTGAAAGTGTGCCAATGATTGAAAGAATGCTCAAGACTTCGTTGAGCATCTTTATGCAGTTTTTATCGGTGGACGTTTTCTTACGAATGTTTCGAATGACTGAGAAGCAGGATGGAAGTAATTTCTTGACTCCTTCCCAAAATAGCTTCTTGTCTTCCAATTGTGTTTCCGGCGAGTTCAGGAATCGCAATAGTTTCTCCAACAAACCTTCAAACAACTTGAAGGACAATGCATGATTCGAATGAATCGTTGTGTATGCAGACCATTGCGCAATGGCACGTGTATTTGCACTGATTCCACTTTGAGCCGAATGTTGTGCGATCACCGCTTCGCCTTGTTCACTGAATTTTCCCGACCACCAATACGGTGCCACTCGTGACGATTCCAATTCGTGCAACAAAAGAAGACGCAATAAATGCTTATGCTCGTTGACGGCTACCTTGCAATTTTTCTCAGCACTGAATGACAACCGCAACTTGAGCAAACCTTGGTGTTTTGCCTTATTTTTCTTGTCCAAATTGAACCACATTACCAAGCCCGAAGTTGAAATTGTCTATAAATTGACGATTCAAAAAATAAAAATAAAATAAATTTCAGAATAAAATCGACTGCTGTTTTGACATAGAGAAATACCAACCCGCAATGGAATGCTACATCTTCCAATCAATTCGTTGTCATGTTTGCCCGTTGATGCTGTTACAGCAATCTCTTTCATCAACTTACGAAAACCACGAACACCTTTGATATCCAGGAATTTGGTCATTTTCTCGCCGAGCGTCTCAGCTGGATCGAAATCCCACACTTCAATCACTAAGCTCTCATCACCCGTTCCATTCAACAATGGCCTGCGCAGTAAAATGATTTCCATTCATGAAATTCAGATTCATTATTTGCTTTTTGAATAGGTTCTTGATCATCATTTTTTTTTTTTGTGAAACTTTTGGCACTTTTCCATTTTTGACACATCAAGAACAAATGAAACGAAAATTGTACTCACAGTGAGAAGTGTTCTTCCCATGTAGGATTCAATGTGCACGTTTTGACCGAAGTGTTATATCGATGTGATGGAGCCGATCCAATGTACATTGTGACGAATGGATCGGACAATCCATTGGGATCCTTTGGTTCTAGCTCTTTTGCTTCAATCACTTCGACATTCAAGCGCATCTCTGGTGGCTTCTTCATGGCTGCTGCGCCTAACAATTCATCGTGACGGGCATTCGTTACCTGTTGCAATTTATCATTTAGTTGATGAATGTTATTCATAATGAAATGATTGTTACGATCGATTTTTCAAGACTCAATCAATGAAAATTGGTAAATTATACATAAAAAAAATCCTCCAATTTCATAGCGTCAGTAAAAAAAAGTACCTTGAAGGCTTCTTGAATGTACCCAAACAGGGAACTCTGGCACGTTTCATTTTCTGTTTCGCATCCAACATTGTGTAGTATTTGATAAAGGATTTCTTCGTAGAGTTCCTCGGTCTGTTGAAAATAAAAAATTGATGATTAAATATTTTTTCACAAAATACGAAAACAAATCGCACACAAATAAAAAGCAAATGGAAAATGTTTTGATAATATCATCTCGCGCGAAGGTATCGAAATTTTGACACAGAAAAAAAGTGTTCTGTCATCGGTTCCTTGACCTTGTCCCATTCTATCAAAGAATCAATATATTCATGTGTATTCATCACTAGATTCGAAGTTCAGACTGAGTATTGCAACATTGTCTGACGACGGAAAATTGTTCACTAAAATGTCATAGACTTGCGTCTTGAAAATGGTTGTATTTTTATCTCAAACTAAATCCACAAATAAATAGCACACGATTCATTAATCATTCGCTGAAATGTGAAACCTCCTACAGAAAACCCGATGAACATCACACATCGAATCAGACACCGAAACGGATTGAAAAACAAATTGGATACTAACGGTCATCGAGAGGAGAAAGTGTTTGGTGGTTTTGTCGAGAAAATCACCAGGTACACCGCGAAAATGGTTACGAGCGATGGTTCCATCGCGATTCACCGATTTGTTTGTGTATTGCATTGTATTGCGAGCCTTGTGCGCCGCATCACTTTTACTTTTCATCAGACCACGGGCACTGCGTCGAAATTGTTTATACCACTCAAAGTTCACTTTTGATTCGTTGCCGTTTGCAATTGATCTTATTGAAGCTGTAGCAGTAACAGTAGCCGCATTCTCCGTCAATTGCACTAAACTATTGCACTTTTCTAGGGTGGCATATTTCCTGTGCGTCGACTCAACACCATACCGTTTGTTCGTCACATCGTCAATCGATTTGATCGAATGTGGAATTGACGATGTGCTCATTCTCTAAACAACGTTTATTTGCCCGTAATCAAATCCCCTTACACACTTCGATTACGATCATGCCAGATTGAATGCGGCTCGAAATAGAAATCGCTTCGATCAGACAAAAGAAAGGAAAAGAAAATCAAACGCTTGATGATTCGTATGTATCCGAATTCGAATACGTATGGTTTTGTTTTCTTTCGGGGATATTCAATACAGTCAAATGGCCAGCTAAATCGTTTTGAATGATTTGGTTGTTGCTGTGCGTCGTCTTCCTTTTTCTATCATTTTATTCATTTCGTTTTGTGGTTGTTTTTTTTTTCATTTGTCACTTTTCTTTTCGTTTTGCATTTAATATTTCTTTTTTTTCCCTCAATTTCGTGCGTATTTTGATTTTCTTTCACATCATTTTGGCACTGTTGATGCCAATTTTATTTTTGGGTACACTCTGTTACAGTATCGAACGGACACTGATGCTCTCGTTAAATTTGCCAATGTTTGAGCGAAGAAAAAGCCGTGAATTATGTAAACTTATTTTTTTTGGGCTCATCGACGAACGAACACACAACAAGTAAAATAAGCCAGACAAAAAGTCGAGCTATGGCTCGAGACGTGTGAGATCAAAGTCAGTTTAACTTGAAATTTGTGCGATAAACACACGTAGTGGCATGAAGCCGATGGATAGTGCGTTTTTATTGGCACGACTGCAACGAAATCGCAAACAAAACAAAACACAGGATTAACGGTAAAACGACAACGACGTCGACGACAAGAAGAAAAAGAAGAAGAAAAATAAAAACAATCTGACACGAGCCGATGATCCATTAAAACAATTGAGGCGTCTGTTTTCTGTCCAAAATTTGCACTTTATTTTTGACGCATTCGTTAGATTGTACGTTAGTATCGAACGATTTTGTGTGAGCATCATGAGCAAAGAAGAAGAAGAAGAAAACGATACAAACAATGTTGCAACACAATAATCGGCAATTGATAGATTGAAAATGTGTTTATTTTCTGCTTGAAAAGCAATTTATCTGAAAGAATATTTTCAATAGAACCGTTGTGAATTGACTTCGTTCGGACTGTCCGTGTGGAATGCTACATAGGCAACACATCAAACAGACAGTACATTAACTGATCGAAAATGCCATAATTCTCTCAATAAAAACTGATGGACAAAAATAATCGATAAGATTATGATCGTAATATTTAACAGATTGTTCCCCTTTCGAATTGGACTTGAATCATTCATGAACATTGTGTGGCAGAAAAATTGTTTTGTATTCTTGAACGCTGTGTGTCCGTGCCGAAATCGTAGAAACATGTGACGAAAATAGATTGAAATATAAATTTCAAGGTTATGCATCGCCTTACGAAAAGAAGAAAATGTTATAACGATAGAACGATTGTTTATTTTACATTGGTCATGGTGTGTGTGTGTGTGTGTGTACGATGCGTAAAATGAGAAAATCCCCACAGACACATTTTCATTATACTTTTGTTTCATTTTCGCGCTAAAAAATTCGCTTTCGTTGTACACTTGTCATTTTACTTACATTTGATCCGGTGAGCTCTTTAATAAGTTCCTCTTGTTTCGAATGCTGATCTTCGGGTTCACTGTCTGTGTCCTGCAATGTTTCGGTGCCACTGTCATTTTCGTGCTCCTCGATTGTACGCAATGACACTGAGTCGGTGGCATGATTGTCAGCGGGTGCTTGTATTGCATGCGAATTGACAAGCAAATCTTCGGCTGTATCCGATCGTTGACGCAATAGCGAACCAAACTTTTCAAAAAACCCACCATCTATCGCTTGAATCCTATGCAAATAAACAAAAAAAATGAAGAAAAAAAAAACAAAATTTGCAATGAATTTTCGTTTGAAATTTTAGCTGTGATTAAACCAGTGTAAACATTTATTCATACTTTTGGAATGGCTCTACACATATATATACGCATTTAATCAATAGATATGCGTCTTTATTGTTTTATTCAAAAAATAACATTCTTTTTTTCAGCTCAATGTTTGTACCTACATCAAAAGAGTTTCAATTATGTTTTTTTTTTGTTTATTTCATTAGCGTTTACATAGTGAATGTTGGAAGACATTAAAAGATATATTCTTTGGATTTGATGGCAACGTCGTTGATTTTTGTTTATATTTTAAATTCCGATCGATATTTGATCTGCTGTTGTGCATGCGACTGATAATGTGTCAATATTTAATCCAAACCGCCCAGGCAAATGTACTTAATTTCAACATAATCGTCAATACCATGACGTGAACCTTCACGGCCAATGCCTGACTCTTTCACTCCGCCGAATGCGGCTTCGGCTGTCGATAGTAAACCTTCGTTCACTCCGACCATACCAACTTCTAATTTACGCGATACACGCATCACTTGATTCAAATTTTCGGAATAGAAATAGCCAGCCAAACCTCGATTCGTATCATTGGCAATGCGTAACGCTTCATCTTCCGTCTTGAATTTCAAAATGGCAACAACTGGCCCAAATACTTCTTCGGTGTACAAACGCATGTCGGGCGTAATATTTGCAACAACGGTTGGCTCATAAAATAGTTCACCTTTGCCGGGTATTGGTCGACCACCGACAACAATATGTGCGCCTTTGCTACGAGCATCCTCAACAATGTCCGACACTTTGTGCAATTGTGCCGTATTGATTAATGGTCCAATTTGTACGCCTTGGTCTTTTCCATCGCCGACTTGCAGAGATTTCATAGCAGTCAATAGTTTTGCGGTGAATGCATCGCTGACAGTGTCTTGAATCAAGAAACGATTTGATGCAACACAGGCTTGGCCACAGTTACGGAATTTGGATGTCATCGCTCCGGTGACGGCTTTCTCCAAGTTGGCCGATTCGAATACAATGAACGGAGCATTTCCGCCCAACTCCAAGCCGATTTTCTTTATGCCTTCGGCACAATGGCGATACAGAATGCGTCCAACTTCAGTGGATCCAGTGAAGGACACGCCGGCAATCTGTTTGCTTGTGCACAACGCCTCACCAACGGCCGCAACATTCTTTCGACTGCATGTGACCACATTGAAAACACCCTTCGGGAAGCCAGCTTCCTCTGCCAATTTCACCAATGCCAATGCTGTCAACGGTGTGTCTTCAGCCGGTTTGATTACAACCGTACACCCTAAAATGTTTTGGAATTTTTGGTTCGAGAAAAGAAAATTGCACATTATTACGAGTGTTAAAAAAGAACAATCGCTGAGAAATGATTGAAATCAGCACGATAATTTCGGTGACACTTATAGATAAACAAACAGCCGAACACGATTAAGTAGTAAACCGATTTAACTGTGACGTAGGCACTCAGCTCGCCACAATGTGTCTATTTGTAGATGTTTATCTGTATAATTGAATTCCATATGACTTTGTAAGTTGTTAGCTAAAAATGTCACCGTCATTGCCGTTGCCGTCACATCACCAATGCAAATTTAATCGAACCTGCTGCAATGGCTGCGCTTGCCTTTCGCGTGATCATTGCATGTGGAAAATTCCACGGTGTAATCAATGCGGCGACGCCAATTGGTTCACGCGTTAGAAACAGTCGCTTCTGTTTCTGTGGTGTTGGTATAATTTCGCCATAGACACGTCTTGCTTCTTCAGCAAACCATTCCACAAATGAATTACCATATGTTATTTCACCCAATGATTCGGCCAACGGTTTACCCGATTCCATTGTCATAATCGAAGCGATTTCATTGCGATTACTCTCAAGTAGTAAATACCATTTCTGTAGAGTGGTAAAAAAACAAATAGATAACACGTCAATCCAATGATAGAACACTATCAAATGACCAAATTTTACACTGAAAAAAAAATACATACTTTCAAGAGTGTCGACCGTTCTTTGGCTGTCAACGAGCTCCATTCGTTGGAATGGAATGTTTTATGGGCCGCATCAATGGCTTTGTTAACATCGTGCACATCCAAATCAGGCACATGACCAACAATCGATCCATTGGCTGGATTTGTAACGGCCAATTCAGTATTCGACGATGATGATACCCATTCGCCGTTGATTAATGTTTTGTTCAATAATAAATGCATATTTCGTCGAAAATCACCTTGCAACCACACACGATTGATGCTTTTTAACGAATGTAAGTGGTTCACCGTGATTATAAGGCGACTAGCTTGAAAAATCATTTCGACGAACCGGTTGAAATACAAATCACACACTCTTTCTGCCTATGAGCACCGTTAATATATTACCGATAAAAACGAGTGCTCAGCTGACGAAAATTAAATCTATCTCTTTTGCTCCTGCGTGTTAATTAGTTCGAGTATTGTTCGGTATTTGATATTTCGTTATCTCTCGTGCCACAAACAAATACTTTGGCCGAGATCTTTCTGGTTACACTCTTCAATTAACAGGAAATTACATAAAATCGTGTATAATTCGTCGAACTACAACAGAGAATTTTAACAAAACACCCAGCGCGCAGTTGCAAACAATGTCAATTTATGTTTGTTATAAGGTTAAATAAATGAAAACAAGAATTTCTCGAGTTATCATTTAGGCTCATCAACCATATGAACGCGACAGAGAAGGCGAACTAATTCACGTTTACCGCGAGCGAAACACTTGAATTGGGCGCAAAAGAGACGACTATATAGCTGCGCAACCGAAAATGTCATCGGCGCCCATTCGGAATCGTATAGCAACAGATTATAGCTGTATATATACAGAGTGCTAATCATATGTTTAGAATTGTATGGCGTTCGCACAGATACACACACGCACACTTTGACATGCAAAATGCGTACAGTGCGGCCATACGTGTTTGCGTGTATTGGAGCATGGCTTTTGTGTATGCTCATACACACACTGGTAACACAAAATAAATGTTTCAACTTCAGAATCGCACGTTGTAAACGCTTCGACAGTAAACAACATCAAATATAGACCTGTTTTGTTAAATTTAGCGTACCAATGTTAAATCACACTTACTTTGGTTCATACGTTTCGGACTTCTTCATTTCATGCATTTTCTTCAAAATGTTTTGCATTATAAAATCCTCCTCAGCCATTTTGATTCACTTGTTCTTTTCTTTCTCTCTTTTTTAATATATTCCTATTCCACTCTCTCTAAATGAAGGAAACAAAAAAACAAAATCGTTGCCGATTTGCAATAAATCACCGCACGCAAATTGCTGTTTATGCATAGAATTTAAGGAATTGAAATTACACACAGTTATTTTGTCAATTGAATTATTCATGTCATTCAAGCTAATATATAGATTGGATTTTGCATTTTGTTACAGCCGGTAGTTAATCTGTATTTCATTAATGTACGATTATCTTTTTGAGATTTAAACGGTATACAATAGCAGTCTTTGTCATCACATTGTGTTGATTCAAAACGCTATTTCTGCATCTACGTACAATGTTTCGAACGATTTGGGGCGAAACAATAGTGTTCATTGTTGATCTCTCACTTTTGACGACAGCAACGGCAACAGCGACGGCGACGGCGACAGCACGAGATGTAAATCGAACGTGCAAACCATACGAGATATTTCTGAGACGCTTTTTTAAATTAAATGGACGCCAGAGCACAATTTATTGTGCATATAGCCGTATGGAGCTCATTCTATATAGATTTTAACCGATGGACTTTAATTTTTCGTCTATGTTTGCTCACTACCGATTTGATTTTTCCCGTTCGGGACAAATGTAAATTTATTTCCAGTTTTAATCTGTTTTTTTTTTCTTGTTGTTGTGGCTTAAATCTTTTAGACCATACGGACTACACGAAACGTTCTATGTTCCGATTTTATTTGCCGTTTAACGCTTATGTTCTTATTATCATTGTGGATGTAGTCAAAATCTATGTCGATGTATGAATGCTATTTATTCAGCATAAAAACTGGATGTGTGGCCAATTGACGGGCAATCTCAAACTGGATTTCCACATCAATGAAGCAGATTAATATTTCGATATTAATCATATTAAAATGTCTAATCATATGATAGAGGTTGTTACTATCTGGTTGTTTTGTGTCTGTCTGGCCGTTCGTTCGCCGTGCTGTGCTATGCTGTGCTGTGTATTCGATTGGTTTCGTAACTTTCGCACAGTTGATTTAACGAGAAGCATTTATTTGCGATCAAATGAAGCTAATGAATAATTAATTATCGGATTTTATAAAGTCGAAGTAGCTGCGAGCATAATAACACTGAAATGGTAAAAATAGCCAAAACTAACTAGAGGCAAACACACATTCCACATCAACGAGTTTTAGGTTCAAACTGCGACTGATATTTGCCGTCTGGCTTCTTGACGCTGCATGAAACGTCGTGTGAGAGAGACTTTTGAATATTACTCATTCGCATTTTTTTTTTGGCAGATAAGTACAATTATGGCAATTTCAGCAGAACTGTATCGCCCGTTTCTCTCGCACTTACTTGTTCGCAGTGTCCATTTTATCATTAAATATTTACAGAAATGTGTGACCACCAAATTCTCCCAGGAATTTTTGAATCACGCCACCACAATTGAATGACTCCATCCAGATGTTTATTCAATGATTGGTCCCGTATTAAATTTATAAATGATGCGCGATGCACATTGCAATCTCATGCGTTGGATCATTCAATCGAAATGTTTGTTCTCATTTCATTAGTTTTGCAATGCGGACAGTTTCCTGTTAAATCAATTAAAATATCTCTCTTTTTTCCCTTCGTCTGTCCCTAATTTAATTTTTTTCATTTGCAGATCGCATCAATGGCGATCACGAAATGCAAAATCTCATCATGACTTTTGACCCGAATAATTCAAACTGATTTCTGACAACTTTCTTCCACAATAATCATTTTCGGCTTACATTTTTTTTCTCTTGTGGCAACAACACAGACCCACTTTTCGATTGTATACGCGTCTTTTTATGTTTAATTTTTCACTTTGATTCACGCAAAGCACGTTAATTTTAAATGATTCTTTTTTTACGGTTTGTTAACACCAGTTATCACGCATCACTCACAGCACTAAGCAAATCATATTCGGCAGCTTGTTAAGAATCTAGAACGTCGCACGTTTTTTTATTCTTTTTGGACTCTTTCGTCGTATTAGGCAGAAGAAAAAAGTTGAATTTTCTACCAAAAGTATCAACATAAATGACTAAATAAAATGAAAGAAGTCGCGAGCCGCTACAAAAGTGCTTACAAGATGCCGGCTGATAAATGACTGAACTGAACGTCGCACAATAGACTTGAATTTAAAATAAAGACTTTGTTTATGTGGCTATAGCGCTGCGCGTAGCACTTAATACAATAAAACAAGTCTTGTTTTTTGTGGTGTTTATCCTTCGTCGTATATAAATGTTTGTTTCAACGCAATAGTCTCTGTCAATGGATTCCCTGTACTTATTGAGCACAATTCTACGTATTTGTATAATGAATAATGCTAAAACATCGACTAAATATGCTCGCAAAGGGCGATTGAAAATTCCACAGAGTACGCGCGCGCGATCAACTGTTCGCGTACAGTTGAGAGATACAATGAGATATAATGAGATTTTTCTTGTCCTCATCATCTGTCAATGCCATGCGCTGACTCATCGCAATTTTGGGTTTTCTGTCGCTCTGCGTATTTTATCGTTTCTCTCATCCACATTCTCAACTTGACACTGTGTGAAAGATGATGTTAAAACTACCGAACGTCAATTATCATGTCATACTTATTATGCTTGGCAATGGCATTTCTATTAGCCGTGCAGTTTATTGAACGATAATAATATTGGCGATATGTGTGTATGCATTTACATCGTACAGCGTGATTACGTCTTTCAGGGGGAATTTGAAATTTTTTCAAATGAAATATATATTTAGAATGACTGTTTCGCAGTCGTGCTATTGTGTCTCATATTTGGAAATGATAACGTCATCATTTTCTCACTTCTTGGATTCATCATTCGATTATGCTATAGCAAGTTAATGCTCCCAAAAAGAGATGTAGGTTAAGACGCAAAACAAAATCAAGACGAATAAAACGTGAGATGGTAGAAAAATCCCCGCTCCATGCTGCATGCAGAACGTGTACGAATTTGAGTGGGCCAAGAAGGTTGGTGAGGTTTTTGGTGCTGAGTGGCCATCTTGGTGAAATAGATTTTGTTCATTTTTTACTATTCCGTTCCATTCGCAATCGTCTTGTGTTTGTCTTCTTATTCATTTACATCTCTACGAAATACTTGACAATTGGGTTATCGGTAACTCATTATCACCGGCTCTAGATTAATTTTAATGCAGAAAAACGTCGTTTTTTTTTCTCTCATGCAAATCACAACGATTTACTTGGAATGCACTGCTTTTGATTTACTTTTCTAACTTATTGTTAATTTTGATCGAACGTGTGTACGGTTTTGATACTGTTTTAGCGCTAGACATGTAAAATAAACAAGTGACGCGAAACCGGTATTTCATGATTCGTTCAATCATTATCTGAATACGCTAACGAGAAAGAGAATACATTTATACATTGAATGTGTCAGGAAAAGCCATTCACGCTTGTAATCTGGAGTATTGCACCGTATATAATCCGTTCACACGTTTCGAAGTGCGACAATCGAATTTTCCTATAGCAACGGCATGATCAATAGCAATGGATGTCGGTAATAATTACTCAATGAGCAGCGCAGAGCACGATGCGGATACTATCTCAATTGAAAGTATTTTTAAATATTCAATAATAACATACTGACTGGTTTGCCTTTAAACCGGCTGCATTCACATAGCTTTCACGAAAGGTACACACACAGAACGATGACGTATCAAGATTTTATGGCGCCCTTGGACACAATTCCATTTTTTGCACACGATTTTTAAGAAGAATAAAGACAAACAAAAAGGATGATATTCGTTTCGTACAGACAATTTGAGTTATCATGTGATCAAATAAGACATGGATATTCGATGTGACACACCGACAATTCATTTTGTTTTGCGTCATTGCAGAACGTATTTTTTTGGATAAAATTCGATCAAAACTCTTTGATTGGGTGACCAAAGAATGAGTAATTATTATGTGTCCAGAATACAATAGGATCAAAATGAAGTTTGCAATTTAGTCACTGGTCACTTAATATTTGCATTTCTTCTGATGATCAAGTTATTTATTCCAAAATGGCTAAAAAAAATAATTTATTGAGTCAATGCATAAGCTGGATTTTAGTACAAAGGTTCCATTTATTATTCGTTTATCAGTTTTCGACCCAGCGAGAATTAAAGAAAAACAAAGCATTCAACTGCACTCTGACACATGAGTGTCCTAAGCGGTTCATTGTAACGGCACGCTCCTGTTCATGATGTGTGATGCTGTGTGCATGCTCATCACAGTCACGGAAAACTAATTACTTTTAATTATTATTAACACTTTGAATAAAACAGTCGTCTATTTTTAACGAGCATCTTTTCTTTTAACATCAATGGAAAATCCACGTTATCTATTCTATTCAGTGAAATGACAATTTAACTGAAAAAAAGGTGTTGCATCTAGTGTAGAGCCAAATCAATATATCAAACAAAATAATACGATGACGAATTGATGTACTTACGATTTGGGTACGCTTGGATCGGTTCGTTTGCGGGAAAATTTAAGCCAAAGTTGATTTTTCCACCGTGAAAATGTTTGAGTTTTTTCTAAATTTTTCTCACTGTATGATTTTCGGGCTTTGCGATTGTACAACACAGACGGGCAATAATCATTATCAATTAACTGCTGTTGAGTCATTGCGCAGCGATTGATACGATTCAAATTTGTATCGCTGGCACTTAAATTTCGCTTTCGATTATTATTCAAATTGCTATTAAACAATGACTGTACACTGCCACTGAAACGACGATACAATTTTGGAAAACTAACGTTCGCCTCGTTTTTGGCCGTTGCATTTGCCGTTGGTGATGATGCTAAATTCTGATTGCTTCGAAACAATCGATGCAAATGTGCGGTAAACTTATTCACTTCACTTCTTTGAACGGACTTATTGCTAGAACTATCAACACTTGAACTGCGTACACACAATGGCTTTGTCGCTTTGGTTTCACTTTTATCAAAAATTATGGACTTGGTGTCGATGCACGAGGCCAAATTGAATGCCTCCGAATCAAAATTGGAAGAGCTCTGTGTATTCCTTGCATCAGTTTTTTCTATATGAGTATGGTATAATTCGAGCCGCGGTGTTGTATTTTGAACTCTTCGGTTGGATGACGTTGATGTTGATGTTGATGGTGTGACTTCATTGATGGACTTATTGGCCAAACTGTGAGTGCTGTGCAATTTTATTGGCTCGGCATAATGGGCAATGATTGGAGTGGTGGAAGTGCTGGCGACATGATTTGGTGCTACCGTATTTTTATTCAGTCTTCGAACATTTTTAGAACAACCGTTGCCCATAGTTTCGGTTGTATTTTCTTTTGGAGTTTTGATCGGTATTCGCGGTGCCGGAGAATTTTTCCGTTGACGCTACAAGCGGATGAATAAAGTGAAAATTGGAAATTACGAATTTAGAAAATGTATGATTTTGGATAAAGATTCAAGGATCAAGAAACAAGAATCAAGAATTAAGAATATACAAAAAAGCCAAACTACCTGCGAATTGGGTTGTAAATTCCTAACGAATGGGCTCAATTCGTTTCTTCGAAATTCGTACGCTTTTCGCTCAAAGTCTTCGGGAACATCGATTGGTTTTTCATTATACCGTTTCACCGAACTATTTATATATCTCGGTGGTGTCACATGCAGAGTGTTTTTGATTATGTGCGGTGTGTTTGTGTCATCGTTTGATTGTTGCACATCATCTATTTCAACAATCGTAACCGATGCACCCGATTCACTTTCTTCGTTGTAATTTTGATTTTGATCACCACTGAATGAGCTGCGGTGTTCATCGCCACCATTTACCGTAATCCGTATCCGATGATCACCTGACAGCTGTTTCGTGTGTTTGTTCACTTCGTGATGATTTCGATCGGTATTGTAGCGGTAAAATGGTTTATTAGAGTCGCTAAGCCACAGTTTAGATCCGTTTGATGCGTTATCTAGAAACGGCTTCGTTTGATGAAAGCCAGCCCACCCATTCGAATGTGCTGATGTATTTCTGCAAGGACAGACGAGTGTGCGCACCGTACGATGCCAAATGAAACATGAAACCGAGTTGCAAGGTATACACGCGTGTGACACGAGGCGTGTGTGTGTGTGGTGTTTCAAATGGAAAGATAATGAAAAATAAAAGATGGATATTGTGATTAATTATGTTTGGTACAACACGAAGCAAACAATAGATGACTAAGTGAAAACACAACTATCTTATCGAATGAAAAATTTAAAAATTATCTTGACGAAATGTGTGCTCCATTTGCACTTGTTTACTTGAATTTTATCGAGTCAAACAGAGATACACGGCGGCGAACACATGCAAAAGCACACACGAAAACCATGGAGCGAAACACGATATGCTCGGGAATCATGTGCGAAAGTTGCCTGCTAAACCAAAATAAACAAACCGAGCGAATGACTCATCCAGTCGTGTGGTGGATGAGCTGGAAATGCTGTCAATTCAAATGGCCAGCACAAAATAGAATTTCCATTGAATTTATGCACTTTTCTAAATAATAAATGAATCCGTGTGTAATATCCGAGTGTGTCGTTAGAAACGGTGCTGAAACGTCAATGGGTTTATGTGTCGATTGAATTGTGTTCTGTGTTCAATTAGGTTTCGTTTACGAACCATAGTAACGGCAAAACAACAGTGAATATTGTGACAAAACACAACACAAACACCACACTTCTACTTGTGTTGCAAATGCACAAATCAATTTCCTCTGTTGTGATTAAACAAATGCAGATGTTTTTGCAGCGATGTGATCACAATATCCAAACAACAACAACAACCTGTACCTATTTTGTTTTTTTCTTGCATTTGCAAAATTTTACACTTACACTGAAATATTTCCATTGATTGGTGTTTTGTGTGTCCATTTTGATTTATCGGCAATTGCGTATATGTTATTGGTATCATTTGCACTGGACGATGTATCGATTCCTTTTTTATTGTCGTAATATTTGTTTGATGTTTCAAATGAATTCACTGTCCATCGATTGTATGGATTTATCGAAACGTTTCCTTGTCGCTGAATTGCATGCCGATTTCTTGTGCGAATTTCACAACCACTGCTATTGGTACTTAGGTCACTACTGCCACTGCTACCACTATTCACTTCGATACTGGAATATCGATGGCCATTCACCGTTGTGTTTGGGACGAGGGCGAAATTACTGCTCATCGTTGACCGCGTCAAACTAACGCCATTTTTCGCAGGTAGTTTCGGTAGCTTATAGTTAAAACCACCGTTATCCATGTTCAATGTCAAATGTTTCTATTTCTTATTCTGAATGTATCGTTCGCGTGTTCTAGCCGCCTTAAACATTCATCATTATTTTTGAGGGTTGGTCACTCCTTTTTACTACTGTTCCACTACGATTCATCACCAATGCACGATTTGTTTTTGTTCGTTTTTTTTTATTTGCTTTTATTTCACCGTCTCAAGTAAAACCATAAAAATATTAAACAATTTGTGTCATGCTACTCTATATATTTTTTGTATTTTATTCCTTTCTGACTGTGGTAGCGTCGAAAATATTCCAATTGGATTGAAATAATGAGGCGAACATTGACACTGGTTTTGTGTTGTTTATGCACACGCGGCGTTCAGTCGTTTGTTGGCAGTTGAAGTAGCCGATCGACGAGCAACCAAACATTTAGACCTTTTTCCAACAACAACAACAACAACAACAAGCCAGTAAGGCAGATATGTAAGTGTACATTGTGCACAATGGTTCGGTCGGCACAAACGATTTTCACAACACGGCCCAGCGAACCACCATCATCATCAACAACATCATCGTAGCAAAAGTAGCAACAGCAAGTGTTTTATGACAATGAACGATCGAATCTAAAACTCCAACACGAAACGGATAAAAAACAACAAACCAACAAACACACATACACTCATTACTTTCAAACTATAAAATTGCTATGCTACATTTCAAAACCGAATAAAATAGCGATACACGAAACAAAAACAATAACGAATGTTCAAAAAAAAAAAAACGCACCGACCAAATGTGCCAAGCACACAAAGTACATACAAATTCGCGTCACGGTTCCGTTCACACAAACGGAAACATCTTTCTTTGTAAAAGCACCTATTTTTCCAACAAAAGTTCATGACTCCAAACACTCACTCTCTCGCACACACCGTCCGAATCTAGTATTTTATCTCCCTCTTTCTCTCTCTCTCTCTCTCTCTCTCCCTTTATTTGCTTTTGTTGTTGTTGTTGTTGTTCAAATGAGCGCACGGACAGTGGATGGGTTACAATATTCTCATATATATATAATACAATTAAATGATTCTTGTGCACTCTTCTGATACGACAATAGTTTTGTATTCGAATTAGAAACGTGATTTAAATGGACTGTTAACGCGACCGAGGAGCCAGCCGTATTTGATCGTTATTTTGTGTTGGAACCAAAAATACGCTATGTTGTTGCGTGTCTCGTACGAAGTTCGAATGGCAAGTGGATTGCTGCAACTTCTAGAATGACAAAGTGACACTGTTCGACCGTTTCGAGAAAAAAAATCCGTCCAAGCTATTTCGACTCCAGTGAAATGATTAAGCCCATGAATTGCTGGAATTCATGTAGAGAAAAACTCTTTATAAATCAATTGGATTGATGCGTATGTATGCGTTTTTTTCCTTTCAATCGTGCTCTCTCTCTCTCTGTCTCTCATCTCGTTTCGTCCGGGGATATCATCTTGTTTAAGTGTGTGAAACGAAAACACTCAATCATTTTCGTTATGCAAAGAGAGCCATTAATTCAAATAGTTTCCAGCGAAAAGCAAGACATTTAAAGCCACAACCATGGTTCAGCCCATATTTTGTACCGTTCGAAATTAATTCGAATAAATTTAATTTGGAGTGGCAAAGACCATTCGCAGCTCAAATAGAATTCTCGGACTTCTCATTTTTCACTGGAATTGTATTGCATTTATGTCGCAATTGACAATGGTGACTTGACAATGTGTTCGCTCTGGCTCACACTGTGCAATCGAGCGCCGAGTTCACACATATACTGTTAGAGAGTTTGTATAATTAATTAGATTGAATTCTATTTAATTGCCGCAAATTGATGTAGGAGAAGCCCATTTAGAAGAACAAAGAGCACCAATACAACCTTTCGAGGTTCGTTTTATGGTTTGTTTTTTTTTTCTTTACTTCGTTGTCGATCGAAATAAAGCCATTTTCCACATCTATTCTAACGTGGTTTGATATCGTGAACACGAGTCGAATTCTTGTTAGAATGATGATGAAATCGGCCATAAACTATTTTAGACTGGGTAAATTCATGAGACGTCTTCAAAAGTGTTGCATTTTCATTGCCGTACATTTCAACAATGACCATTTGTTAAATGGTCACACAAGCGTTTCGTGCCATGCTGAAGACAAGCTACACGCAGCGCCCAGCAACAGCAACAACAACACACCTATCGCAAACAATAATAAAACGCTTGCATGATTTCGATTTCGTTTCATTTCCTTTCGCTTTACTTACGACGTACGATGAGGGGGTATTCCAACTGACGCACTTCTACCAGCCAAAAATGCTGATGTTTTCGTTGTTGCGTTAGCACCGTATACCTCGAAGAAATCGCATTTAATTCGATGATTTTTCGATTCCAAGCAATGCATACATTTTTGTACATTCGAAACATCGTGTGGCAATTGCATGACCAAGTTCAACTGATGACGATATGATAATTACAAATCAACTCTTTTGGGATTGCGCGCACTTGTCAAGCATTCTATATAAATGTGTCGTATACAATGTGGAACAATGTGCATTCAATGATCTCATTTAACAATGACTGACAATCTATTTCAATGCATTGTTTGTTGCTTTTCGAATGCTTTGTTTTGATACCGTTTTGTTTTGTATGCTTGGGGTCGTTTCGATTCGACTTGTTACAGCAAACATTTCTCCTGTCATTGTGTTGAAGCGTGAAAATAAGCAGACAGAACACACCAAATAAATATCACTAATTGACAAATCCGATATGATTACTCATCATCAGTCAACGTTTATTCGCTATTTTTAAGGTCGACCCAACACCGAATCGAAAGAAAATCAAATTTATGTGCGGAACAAAATCATTCATTTTTTTCTCTTTTTTCATTTCAAATGTCTTGCATAATAATATTCCATCAAAATGATCTAAATGATAATTAAATATAATTATGTAACCGAAAGCGTGGAATTAATTTCGAAAGTGGAAACTAATTTTGATCTAGCTGCTGATAGATTGGTACGTTGAGCGTTGGATACGTTCGTAGTTTTTGTAGTTCCAATGTTGCACTGAGCTCCAACAATTCAGCGTGCTGTTCTTGTATCTTTCTGATTAATTGCGATCGCTTCAATATCAACAACATTCTAAGAAGTGAATCAAGACGTGGTAAAAAAAGGTAAATATTTGCTCTATAATTTAATTTGTGCGCAGACGAAAAGATAAACGAGAGTAAGAAAAAAACCCAAGCATTTGGAATTTCTGGTTTTACCGTTCATTTCGCATAGTTATATCTTTTTCGCTGACCAAGTAATCCTTGGTAAAATTTCTTTCGTCGATGTTGACTTTCAAAGACGCAATTTGACAGTCGAGAGCGTTGTTTTGTTCACGCTGCCTTGATATTATTGATTCCATTTGTTCGATTCGCCTCATTCTATCGAGAGAGAGAAAGAGAGATGGACATAGAAAATAAATGTACGGCCAACTGATGACGTACAAAGATGGGATTTTTCGGACTAACAGTGCACTCTTTGTGTTTGGCATAACACTTTCATGATCACCATACGACGATTTCTGAACCTTTTTCTTATTCTTCTTTGCTTTGGCCTCCAGTTTGTCGTGTAGCCATAGTTTTACATCTTTCGTGATCTGGAAAAATGAGCGTTTTTTTTTCAATTTAGTCTGGGAAATGAATCATTTTAATGACGGTAATGCACTCATGTGCATCCAATACACACGTTGCACTTTTCAATTCGTTTTAAAAATATTTTAAAATCTTCCATTGTCATTTGTAGCATCGACTGTTTCCATTCGTAGTATGCCACGCGGCGACGGCACAAATCAACTTGTTGCTTAATTTTTAGCTTTTTCAATGCAGCTTCCTGTCGTTTACGCACATACACACAAATTCCGTCCGTTCCCAGTTTTTGGACGCATTATTATTAATAATAATATGCGATTCATTGAAGAATGAAAACATATTTCCGTTATTTACATCCATAGTTTGGACTTTTTTTCATCATTTTTTATGAACGTCAATTGTAAATGAACATTCTTTTATACCTGTATCATTGAATTGGTTAGAGCCAGCTCGCTTTTGCTCAACAAACAAGTTCCATCGAAATTGTCCATTTCACCAGTTAACGGAATTTGAATGTTTCCAAGCTTGAATATAATTTGATTTTTTCGGTTGGAAAGACAAATTTCCTATGGGGTTTACAAAATATTTCAATATTAGCGATATTGCAATAAAAGATTAGATGCAGGCGAAAGATTCATTTGTGTTTGTTTTCCAAGCAAAAAAGCATTAATTTGACTAATTTCGGATTTTAAGCAGTGGATCTAATTAAATTAGTGCTCATTCTTTACCTTGGCTTCTCTCAGTTCATACAATTTGTTATCTAATTGAGTAAGAAGCGATCTTTTCGTTCCAAGAATTTTATTATGACTTGCAAACGTTGATTCGGCTTCAGCCAAAATCACAGCAGCATATCGCAGCTAAAACAATGATAATTTTTAAATGAGTCACTCGTTTTCATGAATGTGTACATTTCAAATATGTGAATATTAAACCTTAAATTCGGTCTCAATTTTGCATTTTCGCATTCGACACAGATGGTTCCATGCCGTTTGATCGATGGAATTCGGTGCATTGCTGAATTTATCGGCCGCATCAAGTGATTGCAAATACTGTATGCATTCATCAGGCAAAATGGTTTCATCTTGATCTTTTTGATTGACAGCATTCACACGTTTGACCATGGCCGCCAGAATTGTCGCCGATTGGCATACGGTTAAACGACCTTTTGGACGTCGTCTGGAATTTCACAACTATTACAAAATTACCCAAAACAACAATGACGATGGTGGCTGTTTGCTTACTTAAAAATGCGATAGGCTTGATCAATAACAGCGGGTGAAACGATTTCCATGAAAAAGGTGCGAAATTGTTTATCTAATGATTGATCTTTGGCCGTCAATTCGTCGAAACTGGCTTTTGTCGCAATCACATTTTGGTCGAGTAATTGTTGCGTTCTCATTAGGTTGTTCAATTCTGATTTCAGATGTTCTCGGTCGGAACTGAAAATAAATGAATTCCTTGCTCAGAAGAAAGAAAAAATCGCTTTAATTCATTTCACTCACATCACAGTTTTCTCCTTTTCGCCCAAACCCTTGAAATGCAAGTGATCGCGGACGCAAGTCAAAATTTTCAATTGTTCGGACGAGATGGCAAATTGTGCCTTGACTTTGGTCTTGATTATATTTTCCACGCATCGATTCAATTTTGTCACCATCAAATCGATTGACGTTTCTAAGGCGGTCTTTTCATCGAATAACTTCCCGATATACTCTTGACGATCGGTACGTAGTTTGGCCATTTTTTCATGGTATTTGTCAATTTGCATCTTATCCGCTTCGCTAAGGTCACATTCAGGAATATGTTCCAACACACACACCGGCTTTGGTGGGTCTTTTTTCAATTCATCTTCCCAGCATACTTGCAGAACACCATCCATCATCTCGTCCAAAGCTCGCTTGTAAAACGATTCATTTCGATACATTTTCTGCGATCTATTGGAGTCATCATCCATACTATCATCAAATTGTGATTCAATGTTGTAGCTCGAAATGGCCATCATTGTCGAATGTGTGCTCTCATCTTTGAAATAGTCACATTTTACAATTGGATCAAACTGTGTAATTTCATCACCATTAAGGCGCTGCATTAGGTTAATATCTCGATGAATTTGGCTCAACCGTTCATTGCGTTGAGCCATCAATTCCATTTCATTCTCTTTGATTTTTGACATTTTCACATACATGTCATTGAACAGTTTTTTTAGCCGAACAATGTTATGCTGAAATGATTGAGAATCACCTTGAAATATGTTGAAAATTCACCGAAATATTTCCAAATACTCACATAAATTTTGACGTTATATGCATTCACCACTGGTTCATCGTGAATGTCAACGTTTTCCTGCTCCGTTGGAAATGTGCTAAAGAAGTTATAGTCCAAATTTACCTTTGACGTCAGTTGTTGATCAATTATTCTCGCTGCCAACAAACTGAAGCGATCGGTCGTTTTGGTTGTTTGCGTTTCAATAGGCCATTTAATGTCTTCGTGGATATTCGGATGAATCCATGGTTTCAACTCACACACTTGATGGAATAACTCTTGGTCTTCAAGTATTTTATTTAAAAGCGTTTCGTCACCCAATTTTTCATCTAAATCGGTGAGCGGGAAATTTTGTATGAAAATATCGCTAAAGATTCCTTGTAGCTTCTGCGGTTTGGTATCGAAACAATCCCACATTATTTGCTTAATATTTTCGATGCGTGCTTTTTCATCGGAAAATTCCATCTCCAAAGCCTCCCGTTCCGCTTCTATTTGCTCTTTCAGTGCACCGCTTTTGATATCGGCTTCGGTCGCATTGAGATTGAACAATTGAATTGGAAATTGCTCATCGTTTGGTTGGCGTTCATTGATATCCATGTAATGGACAATGGTTCGCTTTATTCGATCTAAGTCTTGTTTTATGTTTTCCAATTCGGTTTCATAGGCCGCACACTCCTCTCTGGTTTGCCGCGCCAATTCAATACTTTTCCACGAATCGATTGGTGTCACCAAAGTTTCGTCAATATTGATTACTTCCAATTTGTTTGACTCTGAGTGAAACGGAGCATTTATCCAAGAATAGTCGAAAGATGTTGAAATATTTTTGAAGCATATCAAATTCTCGCTCCAGCCAAGCGATATCAAATGTCTGTTTTAGTGGGGAGAATGATTTGAAAAATAAATGTCTCAGATGATTCAAAGCATATTAAAAGGTCAAGAAATCAAAATCAAAATGTGGAATTGGGCAAATGAAATTCTTTTGAGTTGTTCTCTTTAAATTCAATATTCGGAATGTTATGAAATTCCATTTTTTGATATGTCGACCCTCTGACTCGACTTCTCTTTTACTCGATTTTTCAAGACAAAAAAAGATAGTTATTACCTTTGCAATGGATCAAAAACGGCATCCTTCACACCTTTTGAGCATTTATCATGCGCGAACACTGATTTCACCATTCGCATGGAGTTTTTATCCCATAGCAAAATTTGACCATCACATCCGTAGGTCAAAATAGACGAGGCATTCACGGTGAATTTTATCGCGCCAAACAAGTGATCGGTGGTAATTGTTTGTGCGATATTCACTTCAATTTTGCCACTTTCACCGCAAATGCATTGAAGTAAATCGATGCACGTCATTCGCGCGCCCAATACAAACTTGTTGGAATCATAATACTGAAATTGTATTGCAGAATATAAATGGTTCAATTGAATTGTTTGCAATTGGTGTGCGTAGTTTGAATGTTCATCGATGGCAACTAGATCGCAAAGGCTAATCGCCGATTCAATCGAAGTCAGACCACATTTAATGTACAACATCAATGCGTATAGGTTTCCATTCGATTTCACAACGGAGTAATCCAAATAGTTACGGCTGAGTATGAAGAATTTTTTGATGTCATCATCATTGTTTGACTCTCTTTTTACTAAGAAAAAGCCATTTTCCTCGTCAATGCAGATAAATGTCGTCGAATTCGGCATAAACTTTATAAACACCAATTTCGATGAGGTTAATCTGTATTTCGCTATGATGTCAGCTTCACCTTGTTCGTCAATCTCCAATATCAATATCATGCCCGATGAAGTGGAAACGCCAACCATTGAACTCGTTTCATGTGATTCGATACCGTTAACACCGTTTATGGAATATTTGGAAATCTGATAACATAATTTCAGGGGTTTAGTTCGCTTTGTAAGTTGAAATTCGTATTAAGTCATTACCTCGATGCCAGACTCAGCTTCTACTATGATAAGTTCATTTAAATTGGTTTGCAACATCAAATAGGTTCCACGCGGATTGATGAAAATGCACCTTTCGATGACTCTTGAAATAGAAGCAAAAGAATAACTTTTCTACTTGCAGTCAAAAAAAGAAACAATTTATTACCGCTGCAAAGAAGCAATCGAATTCAATATTCCGCTAGATTTTTCCTCGTGCAACTTTTCTACAATGCCATCAGTTGAAAGTACAAGGATTGTATTTGCATCACCATGCAAAAAAATTGCTGGAATCCAGCTCAATTCAACGGCCCAAATGATGCACCAATCATTTCCCAACTTTTTGAAAAACTTCATGCAAGAAGAATATTTTTAAAAAATATTAAAATTCATGCATGCAATCAAGTGATGACTAATAATTTTGCATTACATTTAATTTCGCACCAAAATCACCAACAATAAGACCATTTTTGTAGCTGATAATCGAAATTTGATTGGCGTTAATCTTTTCCACGAAATTAATTATTTTTACAATTTTATTTTGAGCTGGCATGATCTGCAATGAAATTATTTTTACATTCTACGAATTGTTCATACAAAATGCATGAAATAGATATTCAATTGCTTATCTTTACATGCGAAATACCGACTACATCAGCTACAAAAAGTGCACCATCTGAATCGAATGCGGCTTTGTAATCGGATGCCTCACTTTTGGTTTCTAAACAAAAATTAGTTCTATGTACTGTTGTCATGTCAATCGATGAATTAATTTCCCATACAATTAGTTGCGGTGTATTTTTGGCCATTTGAACCACAACCAAAGGATACGTTAAACTACATCTTTTTTATAGAAAAATTAGAAAAAATGGAAAATTTGTTTTTTCCTCATAGAAATTAAAATTTACTCTAGAAATTGATTGTCGACGAGAAAATCGGTTTTCTGTTTTCTCAATAGCTGTGTTCCGGTGCGCCAATTCCAAATTTCAAGGTAATAATTTTCACAAAATGTTAGCGCAATCAAGTGATCACTCTCCCAGAATTCCAATTGACGATAAAAACCCGAGCTAGGCGTATCTACGAATCAATTGAATATGTTTTAGTCATTAGTATCAATTTTTCCAGGTATCAAAATCCATTTAGTCCTACTTTTAAGCTGTCCAATGCATTCGTTTGGGTATGTGAATATAATGATGCGTGATGGTGTTGAAATGTCTCCAATCGCATAAATTGGCTCATATTTATGGCCCGAAATACAGGAAATGCCACAAATGCCAGTATCCATAACTGTTTCATCGATAACATGATGGAATTTTACCTGACCATCTTCAATATTGATAAATCCAATGGCATCATGCTTACTAAACGTTAATGTATTTTGGTTTATAACACTAAAATTTGATATTTCGGCGTATTTGCTTGTACTAGAAGATTTTGCATGCTCCATTTTTCGTTCTAATAACAAAAAATATTCTTTTCCGTTCGAATTTAACTGATTCCAACTATTTCTGCAATAATCAACACAATTCTGACTTAAATTTGCATTTATCGAGCAAACTCGTAACTATGACAACGCAAAAGATTTTGACTAATGTATTGAATATCGTATTTATTCAATTAAAATTTTCAATGAATAAAGTGTTGTATTTCATTAAGAAATATTACAGTTCAAAAAATGTTGCGTAAACATTAAGTTAAAAATAAAACGGAATTTGTCAAGGCATCCTTATGCTTTTTCTGCTTTGGGTGCTACTTTCAATGCCAAACGCTTCTCGTTGCTCAACTTGTTCTTCTTCTTCTTGTTCACCTTATTCTGAAATACAACAAATGATTCCATTAAAATTGTGCCCCATCATATGGACAATTGCGTGGGTTTTACCTTTTTTGCGTCATTGCTTTTCACTCCCAAAAATTCTTTATTCTTCTTCTTTTTCTTTTTGTCGCTATCTTCGGTCGGTGCGGCTTTGTCGGCAGCATTCTTTTTTGTTGCATTTGCTGCTTTCTTCTTCTGGACTGGTTTCGGTGTTTTCGCCTTTTTTACATTCTTTTCGCCAGGTGATTTGTTTGCCTTATATTTCTCGACGCGAACTTCACGATCCAAAATTGAAGTGCCGTTCAATTTGATTGCCAATGCACACGATTCGGGCTGGGCAAAACGAATGAATGCAATACCTTTGCAACCTTTATCCGATTGAACGACACGAATGTGCTCGATTTCACCGCAACATTTGAACGCTTCACGCAAAACGTGATCTGTGACCGCTGTTGTGCGAAAAATTTACAGTCAAATGGTTAACATTGATACCAAAATGTTTTCCGGTGGAAATTTTTATTGAATTATCAATCCTTACCGTATCTCAAGTTTCCAATAACGACCGTATTTTGTGGCTTAATATTTGCAATTTTTTCTTTTGAGTCCACATCAACGGTGATGACATTGTCTCCGATTTTCTCACCACTGAGCGCAACACTGGCTTCGGCAGCTTCGCGTGAATCAAAGTAAATGAATGCAATCAAATGTGGCACCTTTTCCAATTGAGCCTTGCGAAGGAACGATTTTCCCGTGTTGGTGCGGAAACGAATAGACAAAATCGTTCCGAATTTCTTGAACATTTTCAACAACTTGAGCCGTTTAATGTTGACCGGCAAATTTCCAACGAATACTGGCACTGCTGACTTCAAGTGATGGTCTACGGAGAAGAAAAGATGTTTTTCAAAACAAATCGCACTAGAAGAATATAAGTGTGTCATACAAACCTTTCTTAACGGCTTCTTCTTCAGTTTCTTTCTCTTCCTCCGCTTTTTCGCTTTCTTCGACTTTTACCTTCGGCTCCTTTTTAACAGCAGGCTTGGCTTCACCTTGATTTTGCTTCTGTTTTTGTTTCTTCGTTTGATTTTGTGCTGCATTTTGCTTGGTTTTCTTCACTGGTGGTTCGTCGGTGGTTTCACTTTTTACGTTAACATTCTCAGCTGCACGTTTTTGATTCTTATTCTTCTTTTTCTTGGGAGATTTTTCTTGTGATTGAGCCACAACGCTTGGTTTTGCTTCTTTTTTAGCGCCATCGTTAGCTTTCAATGGTTTTTGCTTTTTATTCTCATTTGCTTTCGGTTTCTCCTGTTTAACGGCTAACTTTTTCTCAGGTTGTTGTCCCTTGGCTTTTTTCGCGGCAACTGGTGCTGCGTTTCGCGCGTTTTTTGCATCTTTTTTATTTTTGTTACCCTTTTCGGCTAGTTTCTCCTTGCCTTTTGGTGCTGCTACGACTGGTTCATCTTCGATGCCATGCTCCCTTTTCAGCGATGCCAACAAGTCCGTAACTTCTGATGAAATTTGTTTCTCGTCGATTTTTGGTGCTTTTCCCAATGCCTCAGAATCGGAAATATCCGAATCGGATTGTACTTTCTTTTGTCTGGCTTTCAATTTCGGCTGCTTATTTTTATTCTTTTGTATTTTAATTGTTTTCTCAGTCATTTTGTACGTATAAAATTAAACGTGTCGATTGGCCCAAATTTCACTACTGCCGAAGATTCTCGTCCACGCTGTTTTTCTGTCGAATCTATTTATCAGTTCAACATGTGTACCCGGCTGTCAGACTTCAATAACACATGGACGCAGAGGTCGCTACTTACACATTCAATTCCATTTCGTCTTCGCTAAATGTGCGTGCCGGTGTGTGCGTGAACGAGTGTACATTTGCAACGCTGTATGAGTCCGTTCGTATATGCCGATTATGAAAGAAGTAGTCAACTGATACGTAAACAAATGAAATCACTCAGCCAAAATAAACAAATGATCGTAGGGCAGGAATCATTGTTGCAGATTGATAGATGAGTAATTCGCTTGTTTGCACCCATAATTACTCATCGTCCGGAACACAAAACACGCAAATGAATAACAAATCATTTCTTTTTCTTTAATTTTTTTTTATTTTTTCTCTTCATTTTATTTTCAAGAATGTATTCAATTTTATTATGCAATCATATCCTCTGAAGAAAATTCTAGTCTAAATGAAGCCATTCTGAATAAATTTCCTTCGCTCACAATGTTTGTTGTTGCTTTTTTTTGTTAATTTATTTTTGATCTTGTTTGTTGTTTATAAAGTTGAAAATTTTCATTTTAAATAAAACAAAACTCACACACAATCTTTGAAATGACTACGGCTAATCGATAGTTTGTGATTCGTATCCAATTTCAATATCAACCTCTAGTAGTAGTTGTTTTAGTAGTTGACGCTATTTTTATGCTTTTTTTCTCATTTAAATCGGTTCATTTGTCCCATTTAAGGGCAAAAATGCGCTTGGCATGCGAAAAAACGAAATCATGCAAACGACACACTGCACCTGCCTTTATTTAATTCATTCTGATACCTTAAAAGTACTTATTGATTTTTTTGTTGTTGTTTGATTTTGCTTTTTGTTTTTTTTTCTCTCTTTTTTTATCGTTAAACAGAATAAATATAGGAAAATTGAAAAAAATACGAAAAATATCATTTCTGCAAAAATAAACGCGAAAATATTTGCTTATGTTTCTTTTTGTTGTTGTTGTAGGAAAACTGAAAGGAAGTGTAATTCTGCATGGTATTATTTAGATATTGTATATGCGTATGAAAGTAGAAATATATTTTTGTATTAATTAGCAGATAGTTTGCGATTGGCATACTAACTGTCGCCGATTAATAAGTGTAATTAGAATAGTTATAAAAAATGCTTGGACTTATTGCCATTTTTTTTCTCTTTTTTATGTTTGCTTGTTTGTGACACACATATATATTTCTTCATCCATTTCTAATCCATGCAAATCAATCCGTATCGAAGCGATTTGTCTCTCTAGCCAAGACTTTCGACACAGATTGTGCTCAAACCGTTACCTGAAATGGTGGTTTTGAATTGCTCTGGGATTGGGTGTTCGGTGTAATCGCCGGCCGTACCTTTTGGCAGCAAAACATTCATTTCAGATGATTTGGACGATACAATTTCGACTTTCTTCGATTCCTCGGACAAATACATTTGGCAGCCATCAGTTTTATCGATTGAAATGGTTGGCACATGACCCAGCACTTGCATCTGCACACTTTGGCAATTGACAAATTCAATGGACGACACAAGCGAATCGAATACTACGGAACATTTTTTGCACGAATCAAGGAAAATGCTGTTGATCTTCCCTTTGACGGTGATGGTTGAATTTTCGCATCGGAACACGTACACAACGTTGTTCATTTCGGCACCCTCGACCACAAGACCGGTATTATTTTTCTGGTATTCGATGAGCCATTTTTTGCCGTCACGCGTGAACACCGGCGGTTTGCTTTCAACAGGTTTAGCCACTGGTTTAACCGATGCGGTTGGTGCCTTGAATGGTGCTGGTCCAGTGCGCAGTCCGGGGTTCTTGTGTGTTTGCATATCGGCTGTAACACGTTTCAAACTCTTCGTAATGTCCTCGCCCTGATTGATTTGTGCGAATAATGCGCTGCGGCCATCGTCTTCGCCGCCGGCTCCCAACGACAAATCACCAACTGGTGGCAACACAGGTGGTGGTGGTGGTGGTGGAGCGCCACCAGCTGGACCACTCGGTGGGGCCGATATACCCGACCAAACCAAACCGGTGGTGTGATGTTGTTTGATGTATTTCTGTAATTCGGTCAATGTTGACACCCATGAACGTGCCCATTCAACGTGAGTGGCATTCTTTTCCTTCCATTCCTTCAGCACACGGTTTGTATAGAATTGACCGGCATCGTTCATCTCTTTCACATGTGGTCCCGGTGTTGGTGCAACGCATACCCAACCCAATGCCGGAATACTTTCGCTGATGGCCGACAAATGATTGAAGAATGGCGATGTACGATGTTTCTCACGGTACTCTTGAATGGCCGAAATTTGATCGGATGTTGGTTTCAACAAGGTGGCCAATTGAGCTTGTGCCGGTTGGCTGGATGTTGATGCCAACTTGATAAATTCCAATTGCGCTTTGAATGCCTTCTTCACAAAGTCCGCTTGTTGCGCCACATCACCACCAATTTTTGCCGACAATTGCAAATATTGGGCAAATGGATCATTCAAAATGTCTTCGAAACCGTTTACACTCATGATGATACTGCTACTGATGCTATTGCTGTCTGCTGTCTACTTTGATGCAAGCTTTCTTCGAACCCGAAATCTAGTTATGCAAATGATACAGTTGAATAGACACAAAAGAAATTTTCGCTTTAGTATTTTATTCTCGTTTCAAACAGAGTGCGGTTCTTGAGTGAGTTTGCCAATTAATGAGAGCAGAAAAAATAATCTAACCGATATGTACTACGAAAGACAATGGAAAAAATACGATAAACCCAGAGAGAGAGAGAGAGAGAGAGAGAGAGAAAGAGCAAAAGAACCAAAGTGGAAAATATTTAAATACTTACGCGTACGGGATTACCTTGGTCGCGATTCAATACGATGAGAGCACTTTTATAAAAATGAAAAACTGGCGATGTTGTTTTTCTATCTACTTCTTTTCCTGTGGGATCGGTTGTCGGTGTTTGCCGTCGAAAAATGATGATAAATTCGCGATTTATAAATATTCACAATACTTTGAAAGCCTTGGTGATACACCCACTCGCTGACTCAACGTTGATCGGCATCCAATTTTCCAGTTGAAATGCTGAAATTACAGAAAATTTGTCATACGACTTCAATAACAATCGGATTGTTGACGATTAATCGAGCAAATTCCTATGTAATAATCAACAATTAAGTCGTATTCACCGAAATAATTTCGATTTAAATGAAAAACCGAACACACAGAAAGAGAACTGAAACACACAAAGACAATGACTTTTGTTTTTGATGATGATGATGCGTACGAAGACGAATTGAGTTTATATAGCGGTATAATGTCAGCAAACTAATACACACAGAGCGTACACAGTGCTGCCACACGACGCAATAGCAAAACAGCGAACAGCTCAAATAACTGATGAGTGGCGCTGACTGTTTTGCTATTATTTTTTTGCGGTTCGGTTTCAATTTTTGACGTTTCAAAAGCAGTTTAGTTTATTTTCTTTTAAAAATCAAGAAAATAATTTACAGAGAGACAGAAATATGAATAAAATGTTCAGTTTTTTATTAGAATCAGTTTATTTCGAAATTTCGATTTTATATTTTGCATTTTACAAAAATAGACATCAGTTTAAAAAAGAAAATTGGATTTGATTTGATTTTTTGTTTGTTTTTCTTTTCTGTTTTTGTTTTTGAAAAGAATGAGAAAAAGGTAAAAAAATGAACGTTATAAAAACGGAAATGTTTGTTTAAATATCGACGGATCGGCTGAGTTGGTCGGCGATCGCATCGAGGAAATCTTCTGTGTTCAAATACATTGATTCGGTTACGTTTGGCAAACCGTGAATACAAGCAGCTAAATCTTTTGTCATGAGACCGGCTTCGACAGTATCCACGCACGCTTTTTCCAAAGCGAATGCAAACCGGTCCAGTTCTGGTGTGTTATCCAATTTGGCACGATGAGCCAATCCACGGGTCCATGCATAGATCGATGCAATTGGATTCGTTGATGTTGGCTTTCCTTTTTGATGTTGACTGTGTGAGGGAAACAAAATCAAATCCATTTGAATATCGCTCGATATTTTCATATTTTATGCATGTAAACGTTTGCCTTACCGATAATGTCTTGTTACAGTTCCGTGTGCAGCTTCCGATTCGATTGTTTTGCCATCTGGACAGACCAAAACCGAGGTCATCAATCCAAGCGACCCAAAACCTTGAGCAATGATATCCGATTGAACATCACCATCGTAGTTTTTGCACACCCAAATAAATTTGCCAGATGATTTTAAGCACTGTGCGACCATGTCATCGATTAAACGATGCTCATACCAAATGTTCTGCTTCTCGAATTCGCCTTGGTATTTTCTATCAAGCAGGTAAAATAGTTTTGAAAAATTACAGAAAAAAAAATGTGATAAATAATAATAAAACTCACTCTTCGTAGATATCCTGGAAGATGTCTTTGAAGCGACCATCGTATTTCTTCAAAATGGTATTTTTTGTGGACAAATAAAGCGGCCACTTCTTCAGCAGTGCCATTTGGAAGGACGAATGAGCGAATGAAGCAATGGAATCGTCTGTGTTGTACATTCCCATAGCAATGCCACTGGTTTTGTACTCGAACAATTCATGCTTTTCCTTTTTGCCCGTTAAATCTATTACAAAACGTATGAATAACATTCAAATTTATTTTTATTCGTACAATTCATTTAAACTCGATGTAATTCACCAGTGAATACCAATTCCAATTTTTCAGGCCGATCGATGACAAGGTCTATTGCTTTGTACTGATCGCCGTGAGCGTGTCGACCGATAATGATTGGATTTGTCCATCCGGGCACTAGACGTGGGATATTTTTGCATAAGATCGGTTCACGAAACACAGTTCCACCCAAAATGTTTCTGATGGTTCCATTCGGTGACAGCCACATTTTCTTCAATTTGAATTCTGAAGATAGAGAAAGAGTCAAAAATGAAATGATTATGTTGAATTGTCCAAATTCAAAGAATGGTAAATCTAAGAAGATTGGCAAACCTTCGACCCGTTGTTCATCTGGAGTGATGGTGGCGCATTTTATGCCAACATTGTGTTTTAGGACAGCATGCGATGCATCGATGGTGACTTGATCATTTGTTAGATCACGATGTGGCAGTCCCAAGTCATAGTACAAGCATTCCACCTGAAACAGTGATAAGACACGTTTGATTCGAGTACATTAGGTCAATGAATCAGGCCAATGTCACGTGTAATTGAAAAGTGAATGACCGATTTTTTACCTTAACATAGGGGAAAATTAGTTTGGCCTTAATAAATTGCCAAAAAGTGATCCGAATAGCCCCCCCTCTCCCCTATATATATATCTGAAAAACCTGTGCGCAAACTTTAATGGTACATATATATATCCGTTGAGATTAAAAACATATTCGCATTGGAAAATACACATTTCAAACTTTATTTTAGAAAAAAATAACCGAGTTCCCCATCTAGGGAGGGATATAGAGCCCGAGAAAAATACTGAAAGTCACTGGTCGAAAAATCGACCACTGGTCATTAATGGGTAAAATAGCATTATCAAACTTCCATTCTCAGTTCTAAGCATAAATTGACTTATCATTCTATTTAATTTGAAATATATTTTTAATGTCAAAAATGATTTAAAAGAAGTACATATTTTTCATTACGTTATACATTAATATGTAGGTACATTGAACTGTAAATGTGTGTGCAAATATGTTTCAGGTTAGCGTCGGGATAAAAATGGAACGAATGTAAGAAATGAGGAATTCAAACGTTCGCTCCAGTGCGTTCCAATGTGACGATACGATTGTTGCGATTCATCCGCCATTTGCCACCGCAAGCTGCTTTAATTTGTTCATCAAAAGTAGGGCCAGTAAGAAAAGAAAAACTCCGCGAAAATTCCATATGCGACAATAGGAGCGGTAATTGGTCTATTTTGTGATAAAGCGATGTAGAGTAAATAATGTCTTTTAAATATGGTAACATATTCTGCAATTGACCTGTCACTATCACTACAAATAGAGCATAAGTATCAAACGCGAATTTTTCAATCATTCGATTTTCATTGATAAAGGTTACATAATTTTCAATAGATACATAAAAATCCGTGATTTCGAACTCTTCCAAATGACTGAATGAAAAGGGAATTTTTGGTGCGGGTACATCACGCCTTCCATAATAACAATATTTGAATTTTTTAACATTTGGCAAATATATCGAACTGTCATATGCTATATAGTTTCCCAACCATTTAGTATGAAGAATTTCAATAGATTGTAGATAGCGTTCACTAATCCTTTTGAACACATCCAAATCTTTCATACCGATCTTCAAACTGCGTAAATTCGAATTTAATCGCAAAATATCAGTAACACTATCAGAAAGTGGGACATTCAAATCGAATTCTAAATGTTGTAAATTTGGAAAATACTCCGACAGAAATGGAAAAGTATCATTAGAACAAAAGCCCAAATTCAAGCGATTCACATTTGGGAAAATTCTACTCAAACACTTTTCTTTCAGTCTGCGTGAACATTTGATTGTTAGGTCTTCAATATTTTTAAATGGTATCTTGAAGCCTTCAAATCCTAGCGCTTCGTCAAATGAAGCCTTTTTCAAAGACTCAGTGCAAAACTCGCATATGTAGCTCATAATGCGATGATAATTTGTGTATTGATTATTTTTCAAACATTTATAGTAACGAAATGTCAGCTCAGTTATCATTCCACCAAAGCATCGTATCATTTGAAAGATTGTTTTTAAATCGGCGATCGTTATATCTTCATGTAATGATATAGGATTTTCTGCGTTTCTTTTCGTAGTTATTTTCGCATTGTAGCTTCGAAATCCCCCTCGATCAATTAAGATTGATTTTCCAGCATAATTCCGAACGAATGGCATACGAGTAGCCAATTTGAGGTATGCATTAGAGTCGGCAACATTAAGCAGGTCTTCCAAAGACAAATGAATGAAGATTTGTTCCAAACAAAATTGATTGACATCAGTGATTTTTGTTTCGATATTTAAATAAGCCGTCTCATCTGTTCGTCTTTTTTTTGGTTGACCAACTCCAGTTTCCATGCACGTTCGTTTTAAATCAACTTTTTCGTCAGCCATTTCAAATAGAACCACAAACAACTGCAAAGAAGAAAACATGAAATATAAAAATACATTTTTCAGTCTTGTTCCAAGCAATATTACTTACTATCCAGAATAAAAGCAAAAAAAAAAAGAAACAAGAACACTGAATTGAATAAATCAATTATTCAAATATGTAACTAATAAATTGATTCTCTTGAAAAACAGTTCAGAATCAAAAATAACTTAAAATCAGTTTGCACTTTCTCAATGCTTTATTACATTGACTGAATTATGGTATTGTCACGACGATCTTCACTTAAGAAATGACATGCTAATTTAAAATCAATGCCGTCTCAACTCAGAAACATTAAGTGAATGTCAACATACAAGTGTCAAATGGCGTGGAGAATGTAAGAGTTGGAAGAGATAGCATGGAGAATATAGCATGAATGTGTGGAGAATGAGTGTATATTACTTATAGGTTGTTGTGTTCATTTTCTAAAGAAATGATTAAAAAATCTACCATTATTTTAATTCTAATATGGTTATTTGTTTATTTTTGAATTTCTCAAGGCTAATTATTTGAATTTAACTTGTTTTTGTTTGCAAAATATCATCATAATGGTAAACACAGTTTGTCTCGTAATCAGAGATGGCGCTAGCGGGGGAGACTCGGGCAGAAATAGATTTTTCATATGTCCACATATTTAGTACTAGGGGACATTGCTGCAGGTTGAGAATTGCTGCAGGTTGAGAATCGTTACTTTTTTTCACTATACGTGATCATATCGCCATCGGAATAGTTTTGAAAATCTAATTTTGAGGCCTATTCTTTTTTAAAAATTGTTCCGACAGAACTGGCGTTTGTTTTGATACACTTCCAATACGCCCATGAATTTTTGTGCGAAAACTTGTCATTTTAGTTATTGCCGAATGTCATAAAGTGACTATTTTGCATTGAAAAAAGAGTCGGGCAGCCGTTTTTTTGTAGTATTTTCATTTCTCTTTACGATTCAACAAGAATAATGTGCATTTTGTGGTGTTGAAAAAAAATTGCGAGTCTCGGTAAAAATGTCTATAAAACTGCAGGTTGAGAAAGTGACTTTTTTGCAGGTTGAAAAAAGATATTTTTTACAATATAAAAGATTTTATTGTTTTTCTCGTTTATGAATCATTATTGAAGAGTAAATAAGTCATTTAAGATGACTTTTTTTTCGAAAATTCATTTATTTAATCAAATTTATGATTGGACTACCATTCAGGAAATGGACAACGAATCTGATGAATTAGAGTAATTTTTGGGCTCCAAATTGCTTTATAGAGCAATAAAATCATCATAACATTGAAAGTAAATCATATTTTTATAGTTTTTTTACATTTTAAATAACAATTTTGAAAATTCTCAACCTGCAGCAAAAAAAATTTTTTCGCTTTTTTCAGCACCTTCAGAAATTTGACCATAAATTTTGTTTTTGAAAAGCAATTGCATATGTTTCTCAAGCAAAATTATAGCTCAAGACATTATCTATCCAACGGTACCTTTATCTCTCCTAATTGTTCACTCCTGACAAAGTTATGACCAAAACAAATAGTGGTAGCCAACCTGCAGCAATGTCCCCTATACAACAAAATATCACAGTGAAACTTCGATTATCCTTCGCCTCGGTAAGCGACGAATTTCTTTTTCGTTTTGTTCTGATTTTGTTTTTATGAACACATATGAACGCATGAGTACACTAGTGAACTGCAAACTAAAGTTCGTTCTGAAATGCCTCATGCATTCACATAGCAATGAAAGAGACTCATGAAAACAGATTATGGGACACTTTTATTCTCACTTTATTTATGGGACTCTTTTATGCTATATAAACGTATGTGGCATTTTGGTTCTGCATCACGTCTTGAGGCTATTTTATGGTGATCAAAAATCATGAGTCATTTAGCCACCCGTTTTCGAGATATTTCAATGTGTAAATATTCAATTATATTATTTCGATGAGTACATTTTTTTGTATGTTGGCGTGCATCAGAAATATTGATAAGGAAAAAATTTCATAAAGAAGCCTCATGATTTTTGATCACCATAAAATAACCTCAAGACGAAACGCAAAATCAAAATGCCTCATACGTTTTTGTTTCGTTCATATATTATACAGTCACTCACAAAATTGTCTGTACACCTTGCTTTTTCTTTGAAAATTCTCATTTTTCACAAATTTTCGTGACAATTGAGTGATATAAGAGCATCTATCTAAGAGACTGGCTTTTCTAGGAGATATCAATGTGTTTATTTGATATAATTTTTTTTGGACCAAACACGAGTAAGACTCGTTTTTCACTACTCACAAAATTGCCTGTACACTGAAGATTATTGGCATTTTTTCAGTGAATATCCAATACATTTGCACTAAATCGAATTTAGACTTTACTAATGACAAAAATAACACTCCCTATTTCAGATGGCGCAACCAATATAGCAAGCTGTCGAAAATGGCCTATTTTGCCAGTTAAAACGCCATAACATCAAACTGGGAATATTTTTTTACCACCCAAACCTCTCTGAATGCATTGAATGTCTTAAGATCTTCGACACTTGGCATGGTATTTGCCATTTATTCAACAATATTGGTTTATTTTTGTGGTCAATTTGATCATTTTGATGGAAAATGCTGGTTTGTACCTCACCAAAAGAGTCTCTATGTACCCTGTAGTAGCAAATTTTGGCCTCATATCGGTGGCTATGGATTGGACTTGCAACGCCACACAATTGTCTCTTAGGTTTGACTTCGTATTTCAATGATGGGTATTCGACTGCTTCAAAAAGAAAGTTGTCCCTCATCTGAAAAGTCCGGCCAGTTTCGAAAAATATACCTAAAAAAATAGGTTTGGCGCAAAGAACGCATATGGGCACCATAGAAATTGGTGAAGCAAGCCCCATATCAAAATTTTCATGACAGCGTTTCCGGAAGCCAATTCATAACCAGAGATTGCATATTTACTGCTGAGTAGGCCTGAGCTGAGCTGAATTTGCTAACTCAGGCGCCTGAAGCGGTATTTTAACGCACTTACGGTGCAAAATTGTCGTGACACGCTGGAAATCCCACTGATTTTGTTTTTTTTTTCTAAATATATTTGGGTAAATTCCAGCGTGCCACGACAATTTTGCACCGTAAGTACGCTATAATACCGCTTCAGGCGCCTGAGTTAGCAAATTCAGCTCAGCTCAGGCCTACTAAGCAGTAAATATGCAATCTTTGTTCATAACGCAACATTTCGACCTAAATCATTTTTCCAGCCAATTCTCGGCAAAAACTGAGATAGGGTTTTGACTGGCTTGTCAATATCTACAACTCTTACCAGACATCAGCCCTTGAAAAGGCATTCTGGGCCAGTTACAGTCTGAAATGACCAAAAAAATGACAATTTTTCGGCATTTTTTGGATTTTTCGCTCTACTGGTCATCTACGCGGTGGACTTTTATTCAGTTTCTGACCTGTGTAGTATAGCCAGAACCTGTAGAAATATTTTGTTACTTGTCAGTTTGCGATTTGGATGGAGTTTGGCGACAATTGATTCAGACATAAAAGACAAATTTCAGGCCAAAATGAGCAGATCACGACTACGAGCTTCGATTTGACAAATAAAAGCAAGCGATTTCTACCTGTTCTGCCTTTGAACTTCTAGTATAATCCCTTACGAACATTTTAAGTACTAACTCGACTAAATCGAGTGACGTTATTACATATTTCTAGCCTCATATTCGATTTCAACTCTCAAAAAATCGACTTTTGACCAAAAAATCCTTAAGTATAGGGTTTTTAGGGATGTTGTCTTGGAGCAATTTTATTTTTTCTCGAAAATATGGAGAGTCTTCCCAGATAAAAACTGTTAAAAGTGGCTATTTAAGGTACCTCCCGAACAAAAGTTACGGTTTTCATGCATTCTGCTATGGAAATATCAATTTTTGTTCGGGAGGTACCTTAAAAATACACTTTTTGGATAAGTTTCTTAGTGAAAAGTAATTTTTTTTCGAGTAATTTTGTGAATCTACTCATACAGATGCTCTTATGAATGATTTTTGAGGTAATGCGCCACAGAAAAGTGCGGTGCTTGTTGTTGTTTTTTTCACAGGCTGAACAATCATTTATGACCTTTGAAGGTGCGCAGCTTCAAGGCTCTGCAAAAATTGGTGAAAAATTAACGGTAAGATTTATTTAACACTTTAAATGTTGAGCATTTGAATAACAAATGGTCTTTCTTTTTTTTTGCGTGTTGTAGTCATTAACCTTCCAGAAAATTAATAGAGCAATTACAGCGATTGATTCGCAGCCAACATTCGATGGTGGTGTCCTGATCAATGTGCTAGGTCGACTTCAAGTAAGTACCATGATACAATATTTAAAAATCTCAGTTTCCATAGAAATTTTTGTACGAATATTCTCGAATGTTGCATATTGTTGCGTAATGTTTTACTATAAATATTATTTCCTGTTTCGTTTTATCCATGTTGCTATTTATTTTCGGTGCTGTCGTCACTCGTCATTGTTCGTGAAATAAAATATGTCCATCGCGTCTGCAGACAGATGAAGACTTGCCGCATGCATTTACACAAACATTTTATTTAAAGCCAATTGGAACGAGTTTTTTTGTACTTCACGATATCTTTCGACTGGTTCTCCATGATCAGACCTAGTTCAAGTCTTGAACAATTCGTCCTTCTTTCCCTTCTATTTGTTCACTTTTAATGCCTTCGCCTGAATTATCTCCATTAGTTTTTAAATCAATCGTTCTTTGCGAATGGTAAATGTTTAATTGTTTTGATTTCAAAAACCTGTCCTCGATTGAACTAATCTCTTCTCCATTTTTAACGACATTTTCCAATTAAATTGAATCTAAATTTTACTTATCATTGATGATTATCCATTTAACCAAATAATGCATCTAACCAATTACTGGTCAATCACTCAAATTGATAACTCAATCAGAATCAAAATCGAACTCGTGCACTCTTCACATTTGTTGCAATCCATTTACCTAACTAATCAATCATCCAAATGAATTCGATGCTAACGCATTTGCTAATATAATTTTTCATATTTTTTGCAGTGCGATGACGATCCTCCGCATGCATACACACAAACATTCTTGCTCAAGCCATTGGGAGCATCGTTTTTTGTCCAGCATGACATTTTCCGTTTGGCCATTCATGACACTGCTTAAAGAGACGATCAACTAGCTACGTACAACGGTGCTGCCATCATCACATCATCTAATGATCGATAAATGCTCGGCCTCAGACACAAACAAAAACTACACAAAATTTAATTAAGAATTCTAGATTTGTTCTTTTCGCATTTCAAAAAAAAAAAAATATTTTTGTAACAACTCATTTTGATTATTTGAAAGAAAAAAAAATTCTCCAAAAAAGCAACTAACAATGTATCGGAACACAAAGAAAAATGAAATAAAACATTGTAATGATTAAAATGATTTAATTTAGTTTCAACTATAAAAACTTGAAAATAAGACAGTATGCCAATTATATTAATATGTCACTTAAGCTAGGTGGTGTTTAGACATCATCATCTGGAATTTGAGAGTCTTCAATAACTTTTGACGACGGGACGTACAATTGATTCGACACAAACCGAATTACACTGCCTCATTGTTCACCTTCTTTGCTCTTTTCGTTGTGGTCCTCCTTGTGCTTTTTCTCCATCGGCCCATCCTCATCTGAGCTGCACAAATTGACAATGTCCGTTGACAGTGGACCATTTGCCGAAGATTGAAGTCGATGTGGACCGTCGAATTTCGACTTTTGACTGGAATCCTGTGTACGCTTCTTCGATACTGAATACGCTGATGTCGTGGGATTTTCCACATAAGACGAGTGTTCCGATAATGTTGGTTGATGCGCGATCGTTGATACATAAGCGGAATGATTGGAAGTCGATGATGATGACAGCAGCTGCTGAATGCTATGATCGGATGTTTTTTTCGTCATTGGCACATTTTCCACTTTTTGGCTTATTTCCGTAGATTTTTGAATATATTTTCCGTTGGAATCAGGAATAAACTCCTTCATAGCCAACGATAAGCTGAAAAAAATAAAATAATTTAATTGAATTTAAATGTATATTTGTTTACGTTTAAGTTTCTGTCGTTGTCTTCAGTGCAAGTCGAATTTTCTCTCTCTCTCTCTCTCTCTCTCAACCAAGACAGAAATGAAAAAAAAAACACATCAATCGATCGTACAGAGAAGAAATATTTTGGCAAACTTACCAACCAATTATTAAATTTTCATTTTGTTGCACAAATGTTCCGGGGAAATCATATTCTCTCTCAAGATTTTTCAGAGTTTGGATGAACGCATCAGTTATGAGCTTAGTGTTTTCGCAACTCATTTCGGTTGGTGCCTTGAATGGTGCTGGTCCAGTGCGCAGTCCGGGGTTCTTGTGTGTTTGCATATCGACTGTAACACGTTTCAAACTCTTCGTAATGTCCTCGCCCTGATTGATTTGTGCGAATAATGCGCTGCGGCCATCGTCTTCACCGCCGGCTCCCAACGACAAATCACCAACTGGTGGAAACACAGGTGGTGGTGGTGGTGGAGCGCCACCAGCTGGACCACTCGGTGGGGCCGATATACCCGACCAAACCAAACCGGTGGTGTGATGTTGTTTGATGTATTTCTGTAATTCGGTCAATGTTAACACCCATGAACGTGCCCATTCAACGTGAGTGGCATTCTTTTCCTTCCATTCCTTCAGCACACAGATTGTATAGAATTGACCGGCATCTTTCATCTCTTCCAAACGTAGTCCCGGTGTTGGTGCAACGCATACCCAACGCAATGCCGAAATACTTAGGCTGATGGCCGACAAATGACTGAAGAATGGCGATGTACGATGTTTCTCACGGTACTCTTGAATGGCCGAAATTTGATCGGATGTTGGTTTCAACAAGGTGGCCAATTGAGCTTGTGCCGGTTGGCTGCATGTTGATGCCAACTTGATGAATTCCAATTGCGCTTTGAATGCCTTCTTCACAAATTCCGCTTGTTGCGCCACATCACCACCAATTTTTGCCGACAATTGTAAATATTAGGCAAATGGACCATTCAAAATGTCTTCGAAACCGTGTACACTCATGATGATACTGCTACTGATGCTATTGCTGTCTGCTGTCTACTTTGATGCACGCTTTCTTCGAACCCGAAATCTAGTTATGCAAATGATACAGTTGAATAGACACAAAAAAAAATTTCGCTTTAGTATTTTATTCTCGTTTCAAACCGAGCGCGGTTCTTGAGTGAGTTTGCCAATTAATGAGAGCAGAAAAAATAATCTATCCGATATGTACTACGAAAGACAATGGAAAAAATACGATAAACCCAGAGAGAGAGAGAGAGAGAGAGAGAGAGAGAGAGAGAGAGAGGGGGAGAGGGAGAGAGAGAAAGAGCAAAAGAACCAAAGTGGAAAAAATTTAAATACTTACGCGTATGGAATTACTTTGGTTGCGATTCAATACGATGAGAGCACTTTTATAAAAATGAAAAACTGGCAATGTTGTTTTTCTATCTTCTTCATTCCTTTGGGATCGGTTGTCGGTGTTTGCCGTCGAAAAATGATGATAAATTCGTGATTTATAAATATTCACAATACTTTGCAAGCCTTGGTGATGCACCCACTCGCTGACTCAACGTTGATCGGCATCCAATTTTCCAGTTGAACTGCTGAGATTACAGAAAATTTGTCATACGACTTCAATAACAATCGGATTGTTGATGATTAATCGAACAAATTCCTATGTAATAATCAACAATTAAGTCGTATTCACCGAAATAATTTCGATTTAAATGAAAAACCGAACACACAGAAAGAGAACTGAAACACACAAAGACAATGACTTTTGTTTTTGATGATGATGATAATGCGTACGAAGACGAATTGAGTTTATATAGCGGTATAATGTCAGCAAACTAATACACACAGAGCGTACACAGTGCTGCCACACGACGCAATAGCAAAACAGCGAACAACTCAAACAACTGATGAGTGGCGCTGACTGTTTTGCTATTATTTTTTTGCGGTTCGGTTTCAATTTTTGACGTTTCAAAAGCAGTTTAGTTTATTTTCTTGAAAATATTTTACACAGAGACAGAAATATGAATAAAATGTTTATTTTTTTTATTAGAATCAGTTTATTTCGAAATTTCGATTGTATATTTTGCATTTTACAAAAATAGACATCAGTTTAAAAAAGAAAATTGAATTTGATTTTTTGTTTGGTTTTCTTTTCTGTTTTTGTTTTTGAAAAGAATGAGAAAAAGGTAAAAAATGAACGTTATAAAAACGGAAATGTATGTTTAAATATCGACGGATCGGCTGAGTTGATCGGCGATCGCATCGAGGAAATCTTCTGTGTTCAAATACATTGATTCGGTTACGTTTGGCAAACCGTGAATACAACCAGCCAAATCTTTTGTCATGAGACCGGCTTCGACAGTATCTACGCACGCTTTTTCCAAAGCCAATGCAAACCGGTCCAGTTCTGGTGTGTTATCCAATTTGGCACGATGAGCCAATCCACGTGTCCATGCATAGATCGATGCAATTGGATTCGTTGATGTTGGCTTTCCTTTTTGATGTTGACTGTGTGAGGGAAACAAAATCAAATCCATTTGAATATCGCTCGATATTTTCATATTTTATACATGTAAACATTTGCCCTACCGATAATGTCTTGTTACAGTTCCGTGTGCAGCTTCCGATTCGATTGTTTTGCCATCTGGACAGACCAAAACCGAGGTCATCAATCCAAGCGACCCAAAACCTTGAGCAACGATATCCGATTGAACATCACCATCGTAGTTTTTGCACGCCCAAATAAATTTGCCAGATGATTTTAAGCACTGTGCGACCATGTCATCGATTAAACGATGCTCATACCAAATGTTCTGCTTCTCGAATTCACCTTGGTATTTTCTATCAAGCAGGTAAAATAGTTTTGATGAAATTACAGAAAAAAAAATGTGATAAATAATAATAAAACTCACTCTTCGTAGATATCCTGGAAGATGTCTTTGAAGCGACCATCGTATTTCTTCAAAATGGTATTTTTTGTGGACAAATAAAGCGGCCACTTCTTCAGCAGTGCCATTTGGAAGGACGAATGAGCGAATGAAGCAATGGAATCGTCTGTGTTGTACATTCCCATAGCAATGCCACTGGTTTTGTACTCGAACAATTCATGCTTTTCCTTTTTGCCCGTTAAATCTATTACAAAACGTATGAATAACATTCAAATTTATTTTTATTCGTACAATTCATTTAAACTCGATGTAATTTACCAGTGAATACCAATTCCAATTTTCCAGGCCGATCGATGACAAGGTCTATTGCTTTGTACTGATCGCCGTGAGCGTGTCGACCGATAATGATTGGATTTGTCCATCCGGGCACTAGACGTGGGATATTTTTGCATAAGATCGGTTCACGAAACACAGTTCCACCCAAAATGTTTCTGATGGTTCCATTCGGTGACAGCCACATTTTCTTCAATTTGAATTCTGAAGATAGAGAAAGAGTCAAAAATGAAATGATTATGTTGAATTGTCCAAATTCAAAGAATGGTAAATCTAAGAAGATTGGCAAACCTTCGACCCGTTGTTCATCTGGAGTGATGGTGGCGCATTTTATGCCAACATTGTGTTTTAGGACAGCATGCGATGCATCGATGGTGACTTGATCATTTGTTAGATCACGATGTGGCAGTCCCAAGTCATAGTACAAGCATTCCACCTGAAACAGTGATAAGACACGTTTGATTCGAGTACATTAGGTCAATGAATCAGGCCAATGTCACGTGTAATTGAAAAGTGAATGACCGATTTTTTACCTTAACATAGGGGAAAATTAGTTTGTCCTTAATAAATTGCCAAATGATGCGCGTCATTTCATCGCCATCCATTTCAACGACCGGATTAGCCGCAACGAACCGCTTGGCCGTTGCATCTGCGGAAAAGAAAGAACAAAAGAGTTATGCATTGCCCAAAGAAAAATCCCCAACTAATGATTAAGAAAAAAATGCATACAAAGTACAAATTGATGTATAAAGTCATTTACAAAATAAAGACACACAACACAGACAGAAGAAAAAGAAAGAACTTTGAAGAGATAAACGGGAACAAGAAGCAAAATTTGAATTCGGTGCACGTTTTATTATTGTCCTTGGAATGGCATTGAATCGCAGTTATCATCACGATTTTTTTTCGGTGTTTCCATGTCGGGCCGCGTTGGACCGATTCAATCCGAATGGTAACGCGTGCATTTGTCAAAGTTCTTTGACCTTTTGCGCTTGCTGCATAAAACCTAGCAACACAGTAACTCCTGTCCATGGAAAGCGTTCAAGTCATCGACTTCATCGTCGTCGTTGGTTTTTTTTTTCCACTTCGTACCTTCTTTTCTTTTTTGCATTATAATTCGTCTTCGTTTTTTTTTCTCGGTGGATTGATTCATTTCAAGATTTATTTCAGCACATGAGTCAGATGGTTTTGGATGATTTGAACATTTCATATCAAACCTGTTTGCTTCACGTTCGCCGCGCGTGCATTGTACATACATTGCTAAAGGTTTCATTGCATGTCTGGTTGGCAAAATTTTGCGCTCTTGTTTCTGTTCCCCTTCGCACTATGTCTTGCTCTCGCTATCTCCGTCTCTCTTTCGACATCGCAACATCGCTTTGCTTCGCGTGCAACTGAATTGCTGTAACCTTTATTTGCGAAATGTGTAGATGTGTACACACATCTGATGTGCGTGTCTGGCCAAATTCGTGATTGCTTTGCAATTATACGAACAATGTAGTAGCAAAGAGACCGAGCATTCGAAGTGCCGGTAAATGGTAAAAATAATGACAAACTCCATACAGGATTCCACCAGTTAATGACAGTGATGATGCTTATGCAACGTTAAACGAATATATATGCTATACGGAAAATGTAGAATCAGGCTATAAAAATCATCTGTGCACGGATTGTGGAAACGAAATGTGAGAAAGTCGCTCACTGTTCTCGTATGCCATGCGTGAGAGAGAATGATAATGAGTTGACCGATGAAAACTTGATTGATTTCACATGTAATCTCGCGCCGTTCATATCGGGTTTCATTTTCACTCGCGAAGCAATGCCGCAATAAATCCCCAGAAATGCTTCACAATTATGATGATGATCGACATCATCATGATGAAAATCGAATCGGAACGGAGCGACGAGAACTGAACGGAAAAATAAAGCAACGCGGCGATCTAATCATGTTAACATTGAGCTTCGCGGCTCATTGCAAGTCGTGAAACACAACACATTTCTGTATAATCTAAGTGGGTGAAGTGTGCGTAGTAAAGATGACGCAAAGTGAATTTGGTTCGGCATTTTGACGGGCTTCCACATTATCACGATCAATAAATAACGGTAGGGAATCGTGATAACCGCACGTCAGCCGTCAATTGAAAATAAAGAATAAGCAAAAAAAAAACTAATAGTTTTTCGAATCCCGTCTACACTGCGACCGTTCAACAGGCCGTTCAAACATTCATTCAGCATTGAACCAAACGAAAGCGCAATGAAAATAGAAGAAAAACATGCAACTCACGACTAAATGAATGAATGAGGAAAAAAAAGATCGTTTATCAACTTTGGAATACGGTGCGTTACAAATAGAAACGTCAACATAGCTGTGTGGCCGAATTGAAGACGAAATCTCCATTTGAATTGAACAAATTGTTATTTATTATGTTTACAATTTGATATCAAGAATATGCGCACTCACATGGCAATTTATCTTGCAAAATAAAAATTCATGAAAAACACAAGCACACACAAAAGGAACTGTTTATGTTTTTTCTCTTTTTTCCTGCGTGTATCTGTGTCTCTGTATTGCTCTGACATAATTTTCGGTGTGTCACTTACAGTTTCGGCGCGGGCTCGCATTTATCGAACTAATTGACGTTGATTTGTTCAAAACTGATAAATTTCGCACAAATTTTGCGCCACTACAATGGTTCAAATGATTGTAGTGTTTGTGCAAATTGAGTAGAACGCGTGACATTGTCTCCTCTGATAAAGCCAAACAAAATACTTTTACACACTGAAATTCGATGCAAACACTCAAATTACAATTATTTGATTGGACACACCGCGGGCGCGCGATTAAGATTAAAATGCCAAAATAAAATCGAATACGGACAATTCGTTCGAAGCTTTTACAGATTGAAAATGAATAAAACGGAGATTTTTCTCTATGAAGGTGAATGCACACAGACAAACAGTGTTCGAAATTTATTATCGCTCAGCTGCTCCAACTGCACACGAGCTCTTTAACCGGTCACTTGGACAATACTAAATTCTAACCAATTTCTGATTGGAGCCGAAACTGACAGAAAAGAACAACAACAACGACAACAGCGAACGCAAGCAAAGCAAACTCATGTGAAAAGTACGTATACCCTAAAACGGTCTGGATGTCGTCGTCGTCGTTGCTGCCGTTGTCGTTCGTCGTCGTCATCGTTGCCGCTGCTGCTGCTGCTGCTGCTGCTGCTGCTGCTGCTGCTGCTGCTGCTGCTGCTGCTGCTGCTGCTGACTCTCGTCTACATATATTGTTTGAATTTTTGTTGCAGACTCACTTATTTGTTTGTTTTTTTATCTTTTCTCGTTCGTACGTTCATTTGTTCGCATTTGATGCTGTCGAATCGGCGTTTGGATTTTCTTCTATTTTATTTGGATTTGATACACAATTGTTTTATTCGATATGTATGTGTATGTATGTGACGGTGCAACGGTTCAGTGTGTTGGTAATATTTGAAATGCGAATGTAATTGTTGCGCTGAATGAACGGTATTATGCATATGCGGGCACAATAATGATATAATTGTTGCTGAGCAGCTAAGCGGCTTCTTATATTTTTCTTCTTATTTCATGCGACCAAAAAAAGTGATCTAAGCCACATATAAAGCCATCGATAAAGGCAAATCTAACAGGCATCCGCAGCCGCCGCATATCTACATTCAAGCCAATTAAATGTGCATTTTTTGTTTTGTTTTGCTTTGCGCTTTTCTATCTATTCCACATAATTCGTAGAATCCAGTGTCTGTGTTGAATTGTTGTTTGAAAATAAAAAATTTGCTGAGCGTTGGTTGCGATTTCTTCTCTTTGTTTTTGCTGCGTTTCAAAAGGGCAACTTGTCTGGAATGCTTTTCAAACTGCTTCGCTGTGTTTGTTTTGAAAACCAGCCTGTTGAATGCAATGCATTTGTTTAGAATTCGATACGATTTCCTGATAAGAGTCACTTGATCTACTGTGTGATTCACACTCCAAATGCCCCTCATTTCAGTGATAACAATTGCGTTTAATTTTTGTAATCCAGCCGCCGCAAGACAATGAAACCATCCAGCAGTTGAATGCTCCATGATCGAAACGATAGCATAGCCTAGACACATTATATGTACCAATTTCTAAAGACGTAACAAAATAATAGCATAGAAAATACGTTACACACAGCAAATTTCCCTCAAAGTACGCATGCGACTTGTTGGCCGTTGTAGTTGTTGTTGTGCTATTGCCTCTGTCAACATATTTTCGAGTTGAACATTCTCTGCTCGGAATTATTTTCGCCATGGTACGAAATCGGGCGGAATGTATGTATCGTTGCGTGTAATATATAATTTACAGAGTTAGATTTAGAGAGTTTACACGGTAATTTTTAGTCAAAATAAAGACAATGAATATAGAAAAAAAGACATAACAGCAATAAAGACAAACGGGCGAACGAACGAAAGGTAAAAATATTGGCAGAATGAAAAAAAAAGATTGGATTTTTTTTGTTGTTGAAACAAGTTGAGTGCAAATCGAGCAATATAATATATGCTATGTGTGTGGGAATAAAACAAATCGAGAGCCGGCGAATTTTTCAGAGTCGAAATATTGATATGAATACGTTGTTATAATGACCGTTCAAGTAGATTCCCCATAGCAATTTGTTTAGTTAGTTGATCTCATTAAAAATAAGCAAAACAAGTGACAAAAACAATAAAACAAGAGAATCTAGCTGCAACATTGCTTAGCTAGAATTTAAAAAAAAAGATCTCATAAGTGTGAGTTCGTCTCGTCGTTTCAAGTGACAACAGAGTCATCGTTGTGAATTATTATCATTAACAGCCAATTTTGGAAGGAAACATCGGATATAAACAAAAATACACGTACACCAAAACACACACACATGCGCTCGCTCGTCCCACAACACACAATGTTTTGACGCTGTTCTGTGTTTAGTCTCCCATTTTGGGGAACTAACAGAAAAGAGGAGAGAAAAAAAACAAACCGAAATTGGTCTGCATGTGCGTGCGTATGTATGTAGCATATGAACTCAATGCATTGCTGACGCTATTCATTCTGCACAGTCGGCTGTTTTTGTTGCTGTTTTTGTTGCTGTTGTTGTTGGTTCTGGTGCTTTGCTCTCTCTTTCATTTCGAATATGTTCACTACATACAGATGGGCACAGCAGCAGCACCACCACCATTCTCATTGATATTTTGAATCGTACTGAAGGATTCAGTCTCATACAGTGAGCCCGTTTTGATGGACTTGTGTTTTTTCGTTCATTTCGATATTCCCCAATTATTTCGATATCCGTCGTCTCGTTCGTTATTTTTTCTTTCCTTTCTTTATTTGTCCGGGAAAGGAACAAACAACAATTTAACGTGAACTAGACGACCGATGTGAACACAGATTCATTGTGTGTCGTTAAATATATTTAAGCAATTCAGAATTTCTGAATCGGGAACAAATCATATTTGGCTATTAAACAGTATTAGTACATATAAAGATAAAATTATTTCTTTCCACCAAAATTTGTTTTTATCTGCACGGTACATTTGCGAGAAACAAAAAAAAACAAATTCAGAATTTTATGATTCGACTTGATTTCGCTAATAAATTTATTAAACTCACATGTCACGATGCAAACGGCAAGAAAACAAACGAAAACAAGAATCGGTTCCATTCAAATTTACAAGCAGCAACATTGTAAACGCATTCACAATACATCACACACTGCCTTCAGATCACGTAGACATAGACGCGGCTGCATTTATATACGTATATAGATTAACTGAAATCCGCAACCGAATCCGCGAGTGAATTGAGAAAACATATACATTAGTAGTGCGATGTGTGCCTTCGCATTTTTTTTTTAATTTTTCATTATTTCTTTCCGAGAATCACATCTTCACATCTAATAGTGATATCTCGTTTTCGATGTGAATGAGAATTATTGCGAAGAATTATTATTCTCCTTAACAAATCATGACACGTTCAAATTTGTTTTTCTCTCTCCTTCTTATAAATGTTCATCAAAATTATTGTTCTGTACACTATTTTAATACTGTCATGCAAATTTGCGGCATCTCGGTGTAATTTCAACTTGTTTTGTTTTATCAATCGTGTTCTCAGTCGGTCAGTCAAACTATAAATATGAGAATATATTGAAGCGATGTATTTGTATGTCTTTGATCCTACTTTCGATTTCGTATCGTGGCAATCGACGCTGTCTCAATAGCACACACATCCATGTGTTTGTGTGTGTGCCCGACTAGAGAACAAGTGCCGAACGCGTCGAAAGAAAACATGAATTAAATCACATTAAATTTGTGCTGATTGTCGTAACAAGTTTATTTTCAATTGGCCGCACAACAGCTGAGTTCATGCGTTCATCGACACACCAAGCGAAGAAAACAGCGTTTGAAAAAGTGATCAGTTTGCCCGGTTGCTGTTGAATTTCGGTTATTGGTGATAAGAAATTTTGCACAAAATCAGTATTTCATCGAAAATCTTCATATTTTTTTAATCATTAAAGCGTGCACCATGAATGGTTGTTTCACAGAAATATAAGCATCAAGAACGGAACAAAAACGACAACGATTTATGTATTTACTGAACTGAATCATTTCTCATTCAATTGGTGACGATGTGACAATTTTTTTTTCTCTCACGCGTGTGTGTTCTTCGACTTGTGAGTGTGAATGTGAGTGTGTTTTCTTTTTTTTTTTATTTGCGCAGATAAATGCACTCAATTTTAACATACCGGCTCACAGTCAAGTGGACATGTTTGCTAAGCACAACATATGTGAATGTTAACCGATTCTCTTTCTCTCGCTCTTGGAAATCAACAGAAAATTTTAACGAAATCTAAAGAAGATTACATTTTAGCACTTTTGCACATTCAATGTGTATCATTTTGTATTGCATGTGAATGAAATTAATTTGTGTTTCACTTTCTAATCAGCATAGTTTTTTTTCCCGGGCGACATTTATCATCTACATTGTTGATAATCATATATAGAAACAGAAATCAAATATTATTCGGTGAACTGTACAAAAATCGAATGATTGTTGTCAAAGGGTTTCTGTTATTCAAATAAATCAGTGTGTGGTTAATTTTTCGTTGAAATAAAATTTATTTTAGTCGACTAATTGAGTAAATAAACTTGATTATGCACACACCGCAACGAATGTGAATGAAATCAATATTTTTTTCCGTTTTTTTTTATTGCCTTTAATTTTTCTTCCATTAATTACCATTAAGTGTGTCTGTGCGTGCATTTTTTTGTTTTGAAAGTGAGCACGACAATTTTCTTGTGATTACAAAAGTAATATGGCTCGCGGTATACTCCGTTTGTGCAGTTATCGCAATTCGGAACCTATCCATAAGCTTCAATTGAACTCCCAAAGATGGTTTTCAAGTGAGTTCCTCTTTCATATCTATTGACTGTTGAAAGTATAAACAGTAAATTAAACTCATTGAAAATCGTGAGCAACTTCGAGAAATACATATATACATTCTCCATCCTACTTCTAGGATCGTCTATTGTGTGCGAAAAAAATGCCAAATCGAGTGAAAGTATTCAAGGCATTCCGTATAAACAATTGAAAATCGGTGTCGGCAAGGAGAAATGGACCGACGAAAAAAGGTGTTTGACCAATCAATTCCAATGAGTGAGACACAAAGTTCACGCAATTTTTCCATCCATACTTTCAGAGTGGCATTGACGCCGGTGGTAACAGCCGCTCTGGTGAAAAAAGGATTCACGGTGAATATCGAAGAAGGTGCTGGTTTTGCGGCCAAATTTCGTGACGCTGATTTTGCCCAAGCCGGTGCCAATATCGTCAATTCCAATGCTGCATTGTCATCGGATATTATTCTCAAAGTTCGACAACCACATGATTCCGATATTCCTTTATTGCGAGATAATTCAACGCTCATTTCATTTTTATACCCGGCCCGAAATAAACCACTTATCGATAAGCTAAGTGCGAAGAAAATGAACGCATTCGGTACGTTTTATTTGCTTTCGTTTTTTCTGTTCTATTCAACGTTTTTTTCCCTTTATTGTTATTGTTGCCATTCAAACAACGCGTCATGAAAACATCAAACAATTGAAATGCAACGGCATTGACACTATTCGAATGTGATTCACATACAAACGAATACAAACAAAAAATCAATCGAATGGTATCGTTTTATGGTTTCAGCAATGGATTGCATTCCACGTATTTCACGAGCGCAGGTACAATAAGCAACTTGCATGAATATTGGTATTGACGATTGTCTTTAATATTATTGTGTATGTTTTTTTGTGCGTATTTAAACAGGTGTTCGATGCCTTAAGTTCGATGGCAAACATTGCCGGCTATCGAGCTGTTATTGAAGCTGCCAATTATTTTCCTAGATTCTTCAGTGGACAAATCACAGGTGCATTTTTTTTCGTTTTATATAAATATCGATAGCTTATGAATGCAAATGAGACGAATGATTGTCATTGTCCAAATATAGCTGCCGGAAAAGTGCCTCCAGCCAAAATATTGGTCGTAGGAGGTGGTGTGGCCGGTTTGGCTGCGTGTGCTCAAGCTAAAAATATGGGAGCCATCGTACGTGCATTTGATACCAGATCAGCGGTGAGGGAACAAGTTGAGAGCTTGGGCGCCGAATTTCTCACAATTAACATTAAGGTATTGAATAAATCAATTCACTAGCAAGTTTCCCTAGTTCAACATTGGATTCATATTTTATAGGAAGAAGGAGCGACAGCGGATGGCTATAGTAAGGAAATGTCACAGGCGTTCATCGATGCTGAGCATGCCTTGTTTGCCGAGCAATGTAAAGATGTTGATGTTATCATCACCACTGCTTTGATTCCCGGCAAGAAGGCTCCAGTGTAAGTAACGACCATATTACACTGTGTGATGATCGCAGTTGAATTTTCGTTCATGAAAAGACTAACGAATTGTGCATTTTAAAAATAGGCTCATCTTGGAAGAACACATAAAATCCATGAAACCTGGATCGGTTATCGGTAACTAGTATAAAACTCACCTTACTTTGAACAAGTGGTTCAATGATTGATTTCATTTTTTAGTTGATTTGGCGGCCGAAACGGGTGGAAATATTGAGACCACAGTACCGGGTGAAGTTCGAACAATTCATGATGTCGTTCACATTGGTTTAACAGATCTGCCAAGTCGTTTGCCCACTCAAAGCTCAACGTTGTATGCAAATAATATCTCAAAATTCCTGTTGTCCATCGGTGAAAAGGATCACTTCTTCATTAACTTGGAAGATGAAGTTGTACGCGGCAGTATAGTATTGAACAATGGCCAATTGATGTGGCCACCTCCAATGATGAGCGTTTCGAAAGCACCGACAGCGGTCGCTGCACAAGAGACCAAATCAACTGAAATTAAAAGTCTGCCAGCTCCAAATCCATTCAATGAAACGCTCAAGAGTAGTTTGATGTACACCGGTGGCATGGGAAGTTTAATTGCCTTAGGATGCGCCTCACCAAATCCAGCATTCACCACGATGGTCACGACATTCGGTTTGGCGGGAATCGTCGGATATCACACCGTTTGGGGTGTGACACCGGCGTTACATTCGCCATTGATGTCGGTAAGTAGGCAAAGAAATAGCAGTTTGCCAATATAAATAACCGAAAATGATTGAATAAATCAAAATTGAAATCAATTCGACATTAAGCTAATGGAATTTGCATAATAATTTTTCGTTCGAAAATGAAAACTCAGGTGACGAATGCAATTTCTGGAATCACTGCCGTTGGTGGCATTCTTTTGATGGGCGATCATTTGGTGCCGACAAATTCAATCGAAGCTTTGGCAGCTAGCGCTGCACTTATCTCATTTGTAAATATATTTGGTGGCTTTTTGGTGACACAAAGAATGCTCGATATGTTTAAAAGACCCGATGACCCACCAGAATACAATAAACTATATGCCATTCCTGCACTTGGTTTCTTGGGTAAATGATGAAAACAAAAAATTTACGAAGAGAAAAAAAATGCAAATTTCTGATTCATGAATTTGGTTTTTCTAAATCAGGTGGTTATGGTTATGCGACGATGGCAAATTTCCCGGAAATCCATCAAATGGCCTATTTAGCGGCAAGTTTGTGCTGCGTCGGAGCGCTCGGCGGTCTTTCGTCTCAAAAAACGTCTCGATTGGGAAATGCCCTCGGAATTGTATGCTTTACAAACAATTTGACTATTATTATTCAACATGAGATTCACTAAATAATTTACGACCTTATCTTCAATTATTTAGATGGGTGTGAGTGGTGGAATTGCAGCTACACTTGGAATGATGTCACCGACGGTTGACGGTTTGTTGCAAATCGCTGGTGTTGCTGCGTTGGGCGGTGGAATCGGAAGTCTGATTGCAAAACGCATTGAAATAACTGATCTACCTCAATTGGTTGCTGGTTTTCACAGGTTCGTACACTCAATGCGGTTGATTACTATTTCAGCGTCATTAAACTTCATTAATTTTTGTTGTTGTTTTTCTTCTTGTTGGCATTCAGTTTGGTTGGTTTAGCAGCTGTTTTAACATGTGTTGCCACATATATGCATGACTTCCCTTCATTAGCTAGTGATCCGGCTGCAAATGTTCTTCGAACCGCACTTTTATTTGGAACTTATATCGGTGGAGTGACATTTAGGTATATATGTAGAATACATTATTTCATATTTGAATAAACTTTTTTAATTCGTTCATTTTCGACTCTTTCGCAAATTCTGAATATATAATGGATGATTGTTTTTATTTTTCAGTGGTTCTCTCGTTGCATATGGAAAATTGCAAGGATTATTGAGCTCGGCTCCACTTTTACTTCCTGGAAGACACTACATTAATGCAGGTCTACTTGGTGCCAATGCTCTGGCAATGGCTGCTTTCTACGCAGATCCAACATTGAGCGGCGGTTTGGCTATATTAGGTGAGCATTTTTCTTGTATTCCTGGATAGCACAGTGGGCAAATTTCAAATCACAATTTTTTTTTAGGCGCAACATCTCTCTTATCAAGTGTAATGGGTGTTACACTTACTTCAGCTATCGGTGGAGCTGATATGCCGGTTGTTATAACTGTTCTAAATTCGTATTCCGGTTGGGCACTATGTGCTGAAGGTTAGTCATTTCGGTTTGGTTGCTTCATTTTTTACGCTTAAAATTGATTCGCAAAGTGTTTACTACATCACTTCTTTTTTTCTTCCCTCTTTCATTCGAAAATGCCCAGGTTTCATGCTTAACAATAATCTCATGACAATTGTTGGCGCATTGATTGGATCGTCTGGTGCGATTTTGTCGTATATCATGTGCAAAGCGATGAATCGATCGTTGCCAAATGTTATTCTCGGCGGATATGGAACATCGTCGACTGGAACTGGTGAAGCGATGAAAATCATTGGAACCCATACCGAAGTCGATGTGCCGAATTGCATTGATTTAATTAAGGCTGCCAAGAATATTATCATTACACCGGGCTATGGTCTTTGTGTTGCAAAAGCACAATATCCATTGGCTGAACTCGTTTCCATTCTCAAGTCGAAAGGAAAGAAAGTTCGATTCGCTATTCATCCGGTTGCTGGTCGAATGCCCGGCCAATTGAATGTGTTGCTTGCTGAAGCTGGTGTGCCGTATGACGATGTGTTGGAAATGGAAGAAATTAACGATGATTTCGATGACACTGACCTGACATTGGTCATTGGGGCCAACGATACGGTCAATTCAGCCGCCGAAGATGACCCGAACTCAATCATTGCTGGAATGCCAGTGCTTAGAGTGTGGAAATCAGATCAGGTATGGAATTGATCCAAACTGCTTTTTGCACAATCCTAATTTCTATTCCATAATTTTTGACAACAGGTCGTCGTAATCAAGCGATCGTTGGGCGTTGGATATGCAGCCGTTGACAATCCCATCTTTTACAAGCCAAACACTTCGATGTTACTCGGCGATGCAAAGAAAGTGTGCGACGATTTATTGAATAAAATCAAATCTGTTTACGCATAACTGTATTTGAACTTGCTCTTTTTTTGGACGAATTTTTTTTGTATCTTTTAAGCTCAGTCACTTTTCGAAAATAAAATATTTCTCTACAAAAAATTGACGAAATAAAATCATTACTTTTTAAAGTCAGTCATTTTTTTTTCAAATGTGATTCGATTTGAATTATTATTATCAAGTGCTGCCCTCAAACAGTAAAATCATGAAGTTTGCATGATTTCTTTTTTTCGTGATGCGATAATTTTGAATTGATGTTTCGGCTCGACGGCCAATACAATAGAATGGGGTCTCGTTAGTTTCGTTATCATTATGTTTTTTATCTCGTCAAATGATAGACACAAAAATGACTTCCTTTCCATGTGATTCTCTTCGTTTGGATTTTGTTTTGTTTTTCTTCGATGTAGGGTTCATATCAATTTATCATTCTCTCAAATTTGCGCCATAAACAATCATCCTTCGAACAGTTGGAAAGAATGGGAACAAACAAAAGCGAACACTTGAATGTGATGCATCTAAATATTTCAGTTAGAATGATGAATGAAAAGCAAATTTAATGGAGAACGAAAAGTACTTCATTTTCACGATCATATTTCAACGAAACCATTTAGAATTTCTGCATTTAGACTACGAATATTTGGGAATTCAATTTTTATTATCGCTGAAATTGTCAATACATGGAATTGCTATGGAAAATGAACACTTATTGGCTGTTACTATGGGGAGATAGTGACAAAAAAAGGTTACGCACAGATCCAATAAAATGTTGATTTGATGCGTTTCACTTGCACATATGATATGTACATTTTCAGTTCATTCACCTATCAGAAATGGAGTATTTTTCCACAAAAGAAAATGGGCAAAATGAATTTATGTTCGGTTTGATTTATTTTTTTACAGTTTCATGGATGTTTATTCTAAAAAGCGATTCAAGTCAAAAATCAAAAAGTCTATGTATTAAAAATATGTTTTTTATTAGGTATATATTAATAGAAATCATTTAGCGATTTATGTGGAAGGAGTGGAACAAATTAATCGCTAAAGAATGAAAAAAAGAAACAACCAATAGCGAACAAAAAGAAAAAGAAAATGCATTTTCGAAATGGCCCATCAACGCTTTGTTTTGTTTTTAATTGCAACGATGTGATTTTCTAATGAGTAATTTTGGAGAAAAAAAAATCGTTTCCTGTTTCGGGTAGAGATTTTTTTGCTTTTTTATTGGACCGTCACCGCTGCTTCAACAGTTTTGCTGGGAATCAAATGCCATGACAACCAAAACGATAACAGTGGTTGGGCAAATGAAATAAAGAGCAGAAAATACAGTTTACGCTTTCGTCCAATAGAATAATCGGTATGTACATCAGCTTGTTGAACGTTTCCGTATGCATCATAGGAAGCGGCGCCCGTTGATTCTCGCATCATTTTCGCCTTTAACGTACGCAACTGTGAAAGAAACGAAAATAGACGAAATGATTAGAAACAGAAAACGATAAAATATATATGTGTGTGTTCTAGATTTACTTACCAAAAAGAAGCAAAGCGAGAATCCGGTGTAAAGCAATGCCAAATAATATCCAAAACTCTTAAATACGATGCTAACTAAAATGCACAAATTGATCGCTACGAATTTGTAGCCCGAAAATGCCAAGAGGTCAAGTAATTTCATTGTGGCCGACAAATTAAATATGTATAGTGTGAGCCAATAAGCAATTAGTTCAACCAAGGTGTATGCAAATGCACTCGACGAAATTACACCCAACTCTGATGGTGTAAATTTGTTTTGCATACCTATTTAAAAAAAAATGAGCATAAGCATAAATTAGGGAAATCACGAATGAATGTTGCTGAAAATCTAAAACATACCCATAACAAGACCAGCCAAAACGATGAATGTAATATATGCCATGGTTGGAATATACAAATCGGGAGCGTTTAAATCATAACGTGGCTGAACCGGATTATCTTGATCATACTTCAATGACCAATCCTGAAGAGAAATTCATTGAAAAATTAATTGAAAAAAAAAATAAATTCAAATAAAATGGTCAACCAGAATTCTGTGTTCATTTCGAATTAAAAAAAAAAACAAATTAATAACACTCACCCGATGATGAAATGGAAACAGAAGCAAAATCAGTTTCCGAACGACATAATTGTTGTCGACAGCAAAGTAGTATTTCAATCGTGTCACTGGTACATATTTTTCGATTTGCGTTTCGACCAACTGTTTACCCTGATCGGCCAATCGTTGACCATACTGCAACGCCATGTCTTGTACCATCGGTTGTTGCAACATGGAAAACTGACTGGGAAAATTGTTCGCCGGATTCGGTGCGTTCGGATTGAAAATGGTTGGACCCGATGCAGAAATTGGCTGCTGTAGTGATGATGTTGGTACCGGTGCAGTTTGCCCATACTGTGGTGCCGCATTACTATATGGATCATAGTATTGGTTGGGTTGTGGTTGATTCGAATAATTTGGCGCAAACGAACTATTTTGATCCATGTTTATTTGATCATTGTAATTGTATGGAGCGGCATTGCTACTTTCCGCACCGAACGCATTCGGTGCAAATTGATTCTGTTGTTGCGATGGAAGTGGCGCCGAATAGCCCATGGCATTCACATCGCTGACTCGTTGAATCCGCCGAACACCAGCTACAATGGAAACGAATAAAAAATCGGCGTTATAACAAAAAAAAAACCAAATTACATTTCAAACAAAGCGTGTCAACACACAAATTTTTCTCGGTTGTGTTGGGTTTTAATTTAATTTTGCAACACATTCGATTATAAATAGACTATTTGCCATATTCTTTACGCATGACTTACGTGCTCCATCACCGTGTTTTGCATTGTAATTCATGGTTTTGTGTAAAATTTGGCCCTAGCCACGCTAACACACAACCAATTTCGCGTATAAAAAATTTAATTGATATGATTCGAAAGTAAGTAACAATAATGTAAAATATTATCAAATTGGTGGAATCGGTTTGCCATTACACATCATCGTTTATTACACTTAACGAAACTGTCAAATGCATAGACCGTGCTTAAAAAAGAGGGCACAACGAAGAAAATATACACACAAAGTCAAACAGCGAATGGAACTGTCACTGCAGCCAACCGGTAAAAATGGTCGACGGGCGAGTTCAATGCTGCCAATATGACAAACCATTTTTTTAAAAACAATGTACGGCAAAGAGAGTATGGCAACATTAAACAAAAACCTTTCTTTTTAAAGCGATAGCGCCAAAAACAAAAATAATTGAAGTAAATTTCTCTGCTGTTTCTATCACATTTAGTAATTCATGCTATTTATTCAGAAGTTTTAAAGTTTCTAAAGCCATTATCATAAAATTAGTTTTCTAAATCATTAATATTTGTGTTTAGTTTGAATTTTTTTTCTGCGCATTTTTTAAATTTTTTATACGCAATGGCGCAAAACCCTTAAAATTTGATACTTTCAATATAAAAATATATTTTGAAATATAAACACAAAATGAACAATAAATACAAAATGAATGTTGATGAATCTTGATCCATTTAGCAATAGCAAATGTACACATTTTAAAGTGATCTACTACAGCCCCATATACCACAATCTTAATTGCTTAGGTGGGTTTTTCCAGTTTAATCAGCGTTTGAAATAAATAAGTTGAAATTTCCATTTGTCATTATCAACATTAACTTTATGATTGTGCAAAAATAATATCACCTGACTCTGACATAAAGTACAAGTTTTGACAGTTAAGCACACAATTGAATATTCATATATGTAACGTCGGATAACAGTATGACGTCAACAATAGAACAATAATGAATTCTGAATTTTTTTGGAAGTGAATAATCTATTGCAAGCCATCGTAGTATAAAGAGAATTAAAAGATCGAACGATTCGGTTAGGTCACTGGTGCAGATAATTTCTAGAACAGAATGGAAAACTTATTCCAAAAAATGAGCAACAAGGGTATCCAATTTATGATGAAGAAAAAAGGCAAAAGAAGAATTTTTATTGAATTTGGCAATTGAACTTATATTATTAGGTTGAAAGAACGAGTTAGCCAAGGATATATCTCACTTTGCTTTGGATCTGTATCTTTTTTCTGTATCAGGTTTGTACGAAAATCCAAAAACCAAATAGTACTTCTATTTGGTTAATGCGAATACCGGGAGCAGGTAATGTAAGCTCTTCTCCGTTATGTTACACAAAATAATATTTAAAAAAAATTTTGGCCAAAAAGCTAAAGTAGAACGAAAAAACAACAAAAATACTCGGGTGCGCTGTAGCGCAATTGGGTGCGTCAAAGTCATCTCTGAAAGAAGTTGAAAAAAAAACTGTGGCCCCTTTGCACTTTTCAAATAGACTTAGAAATATATGAGGGGTTTAGAGCGAAAATGTTATACAGAAAAGTTGAGAGGAAAAATTTCAAATGAAAAGAGATAGCTATAAAGTTCACTATAGTTTACTATACAGTTTACTATATAGCTATCCCTTTTCCGCTCATTCATCATGGACATTTTCCGCTCAACTTTTCTGTATAGCATTTTCGCTCTAAACCCCCCACATGTCAACTTGCGGGCAGATCGAGCCGAATTATTTTCAGTAAATCGGCAATTATTCTGACTAATCTATTGCAAGCGACCGTAGTATAAAGAAAATAAAAAAGTCGAAAAACTCGGTTTGAACCATTAGTTCAAATAATTTCCAGACCAGAATGGGGAACTCAATTCAAAAAATGAGCAACAAGGGTATTTATTTTATGATGAAGAAAAAAGGCGACAGAAGAATTTTTATTGAGTTTGGCGATCAAATTTATATTATTAGGTTTGACAAAATCCGAGTTAGATAATACACATAACGAGTTGAATAAGGGTATATCTCACTTTGCTTCGGATCTGTATCAGGTTTGTACGAAAATCCAAAAATATTGAAAATATTATAGAAGTAAATGATGATGTTATTACATATAACATATCTTATTGTAGCAATGTGTCAAATCAGCCAGCGGAAATATGATTATTTCACCGTTCTCGGTGGCAAGTACACTCGTGCTATTGTCACAAGCAGCTGACGGAAATACTTTGGACGAATTGAAAAAGGGCCTTCATTTGAACGAAGATAAATCCAAAATTGCTGAGCAATTCTTTAGCTATTTTGAACTATTCCAAAACGGGGTTGGTGAAGCAACCCTGTCGGTGGTCAATCAAATTTACGTGCAGCAAGAATATGAGATAAAAGGCGATTTTCAGGAAATGGCTGAACAATTTATGTCATTTTTATCTAAAACCCATAAACATCTTCGAGAGAGTAGCCTTCCCACATTTTCAATTTTTCTTCTTCGGTTAAATTTTCTGTATCAGCAGCAAGTTGTTTCATGAAATCACTGTTTATTACTTCAGAAATGGTTTTTTTCGTCAACGATGCGTCACCAAACGTTTTATTTATCTCATCAACATATTCTGACATCGAACGAGCAGTCGAAGTTGTATCGTCATTTTTAGTTGATGAATTACTGCTTTCAGATACCGATACTGCTTTTTCATCTCCTTTCAGTTGCTCCTCTTTACCGTTTGCTTCTTCTTTTTTGGCATCAATTTCTGTAAGATCAACGCGAAACGAAAATTCAATGCACAATGTGAAACAGAAAATCACGCAAACTATTTTAAATATGAACCTACCACCACTTTCCGATTCGGTCAGTTTTTTTGTTGATATTTTTGAAGCCATTTTAATAAATCAATGACAATGATTGCAAAATAATAAAACTTTTTTGCACGATCCTCACTATAGAACGTTCAGCTGAATAATGAACTAGAATTCGCTGAAATAGCACATTGCATTTGATACAAAGCGTTCAAGTGGATCCACATACATGCGGCTCATGTTCAGTAAAATGATGATTGCAGCACAAATTCTGAAACCCAATTTAACTGAAGTAATTTTTTAAATGGTTATCATGACATAAATGACCACACTTCACATTTATGTCATGATTTTAGTTCGAAATCCTCTTAAGATTCTCTTACGAAATATGTGGTTTACTGGGATACACTGGGAGCGATGTAAAAATTAGTTGAAGAAATGCAAAATTGGCACATTGAAATCGCTCGGAAATTATTCGTGCAAAATTGGTATCACAAGTTTTGTGTTTACTTTCGATATGAGAATTGACTTTGTTAAGATTTTCTCATTTGATACATATAAAAGCAGGGTGAGGTAGCCAGTAAATTGAAAATTATAACTGTAAGTACATTTTCTATAGTTTTATTCTTTTTCGATTTTTTTTTTCAAACATTCACTTGAATAAGAATTCCAATTTTGCCGTATGGATGAGATCGAAGAAATCGATGCCTTTAAAAAAAGTTGGGCTATCAAACCGAACCAAGTCCTGAAATGAAATTGACATTAAATATTACACAATGTTCACAGAGTCATCAGTCAGCAAACATTTACCGTCATACCATGAAGGCCACAAATTTCTAAACAATGATTAACCAAAACATACATCTCACGTACAAATGAGCGTTTCGAATAAATTGCGGATTTAATATATTGGATTCGCTCAAGTCATTATCATAAGATAATTTGGGAACTCGCAACAAGTGCTCTGCATAAAAAATACCGTTTGCATCTTTGATCGATAGTTCCTTTTGCTGCATGGAAATGAAAATTGGATTCAAACAAAAATTGGAATGATTTTTCTGGATTGGAGATTTCTTCCAATACAAAATCATTCAAATATGCTCTACTCTCAATCTTATCGATAGAAATATTTAAAACAAAGAAGAAATATTCAGAAGCGTATCAAAATAAGTAGACTCGAATGAATTCCCTAAAGAGACAATATACGCAAACATGCATCGCAATCCCAAGATCAAGATAAGCTGTTCCTACTGTATTCGTTATCGCAAGATTTAAAACGTGTATATTTTTTTATTATACATAAGTTTTAAAGGTTTTTGTGCAGTCAATTTTTCTTGACTATTATCTGATATTTTATTTATAATCAATAGCAAAAAATGCTGATCTGTATGTTTCAAGTGTTCGTTCGGAAGTATCAGACTCATACAATTCGCTACTTTGTTGAACTCATCAATTTGCACCCTGAAGTGTTTTGACATATTTATACAGAGATTACAAGATTCGATTAATTTTTCGATATCGACTTAATGGTGCTTATAATGTTGATTTGAACACCTCTTGACGTTATGAGTAAGATTATTGTAGATCAATAAACTTTTACAGAAATTAAAAGCAAATAAAAAAAACTTGAACAAAATCAATTCTCAAACCATAAGCGAACACACCATTTGTGCTATTGATTTTAAAAAATCATTTCGAAGCGATTGCGATTTGCCTATTTTGCATTCTTCTAACTAATTTTTAATATCGTTCCGAAATGTTTTTTCAATTGATATCAGCTGTTTTGTAATAGAGTTTTGCAATAAAATTAACAGCCAGAACGATCAAAAACCTAAGATGGGGGAGAAATAATTTTTCAAAAACTTCTTCCACACGTGAAATTTCGCAGAAAAAAAAATCCGAATTCCTACACACACACACACACACACACACACCTGGAAAAGCGAAGTTTTTGATCAAAAGAAGCATTTTCAGAAGAAAAAAAACCGAAAAAAAATATTTCAAGACCAAGGTTTGGGTTAAGTAGGTAGAACCAATAATTTTCAAACGAATGGCTTATGATTAGCCGATTTAAGGTATTTATCAGTGTCCGATATACTAAGTAGGTGTTCTTAATCCAGATAAGTGAAGTTGCGTTCCAAGCAAAATGGGTTAATGCCAGTGATTTTATTTGATCATTTGAAACCATGGTCTCTTCGGCTCTCTTTTTTTCTCTTCAGAATCATTATTTTCAGCTATTTTCGTTTTGTACCAGATAAAATGTTGCCCGAAATGAATAGATCTAGAAAGACCTACCTTATCAATAGAATATAAAAAACGAGAAAAAATGAACCGCTGAAGATATCTACCGATAATTTCGAAAGAAAAAAAGGATCGATAAGAATTTTCGATGTCACTTCATAGATATTTAATTTGGCATACACAGATGAGACGAAAAGATTATTGCAAAATAAATTCTTTTCCATGAAACGATTCGAATTTCCAAGAAATTAGAACAACATTGACTTGGGAATAAAACGGCAAATTCAAAAACACCGAACTGTCACTGCAGCCAACCGGTAAAAATGGCCATCGGGCGAATTCAATACTACCACCGTAACAAACAAACAAAAAACCATTGTACGGCAGTAAAAGTGCGGCAAAGTCAACGATTAACTGACAATTGAACGCAGTGCAGGGACAAAAAACAACATTAAACAAAAACACACTTACTCGTTGCGATCGCATTGCAGAGCGCATCTTCAGGGAATTTCTGCTGGATTTTGGAATAAGATTTGTTGAGTTTACCTGCTTTAACTGTTGGAACATTGTTCGTAGACGTGGTGTGATTGTACAGTTGTGTTATAAATGTCAGTTTGACAATTCGTTCGGTCGTCGACAAACGATTTTCTTTTGTTTCTGTGCTCGAATCGGCCACGGCACGACAAGTGAAACAAGCCCAAACAACCATTGGCCTCTATGTGAGCGTAAAATATTTTGTGTTTAGGAACAAAGAATACACAAAGAAATTCAGCTGTGATGTTAACGAAAAAGAAGCGCATCGGCGTAGGTAAGTGCAAAATATAGGTTTGATTCGATTGGTTTTTGGATCGATACCCAGTGCAATATGTTTGTGTAGCAATCAAAAATCCATATACATACTCCACGTATAATTAAACTATGGCAATGTTTCTTTTAGATTCATCGCCGAAAGCATCGGTTGGCAAGAATGTGCATTTGCTAACGAAGGAGACGATGCAGGATACGGTGAATATGATCAGCACACCAACGAGACGGAATCGATTTATGTTGGACCATGCAAATATGATGAACGATGATTCACCGGTGCTGTCACAAGAATCCATCAATATATCTTGGCGATGGAACAACGAGGGTACACCTATTCGCCCCACGAACAAAGCATCGAAACTGAGGCGATCGATAACAAATAATTCGCCACATTTGCAGAATTTGCAACGACTGAAGCGAAACAGTAGCGACAATCAAAATGGTACAACAGGAGCTGGTGTGTTGCCCATGGTAATTTCCGAACCAGAGACCCATTCACCAAAAGGCCTTTACAAATTTCAAGAGGAAATGCGTAAAATCCAATTCGACATCGAGTCAGATACATCATGTGATAATTTTAATAACGATAAGTCAATGACAGAGGCGGCGGCGACGTCGACGGCGACATCGGATACGGGCTATCCAACCAATATGAAAGGTGTTGCTCAGGCAAATATCTTCAATCAACATACAGATGCTAGATGTAGTGATAGTTTAGATGTTCATATGATGGAAAAAGCAGAGCCAGAAGCAAAGACACTATCTCAGACAAATAACTACGGACTGGACGATAATATTGCCGATGATTTGTTAAATGATTCGGATTTTGATCAGATCTTATTGACATGCAAAATGCCAACCGAACAAAAAAAGGCTAGTGAAACAATGACCACCAATCAAATGCAAACGAGCGTGAAAAAAGCGAGCTCAGCGCCAGAGATCAAAGCAAGCGGCAGCAGTAATAGCAGTGGCAGTAATTGGAATATTGCTGCCGAAGATGATGATGATTTTTTCGATGATTTGGTGAAAGATTTCGATGTTGACATCCCAAGCACGCTCAACACATCGGCCAAATTCACCAGACACAAATCAATGCCGCAACAACCACAAAAATCCAACGCATCATCAACAGCCACAAAAACCTTTGTGCCACAACAGTCCAGCTATGTGAATAGCAATCTGAATCGAAAGAGTTTCATACGACACGAGAGTATGCCCATCACAAACACCTCCATCAGTCGACCATCGGCAGCGAACAACAACAATCACATTTCGGTTAAACCAAATTCGGGTGAGTACGATCGCTGATTAATGTTTGTCTGATTCTTGTGTGCGGTCATTTTGAGTAGATCCTGAATGAATATTGATGATTGATCGAACAAAAAAATTTTGTTTTTTTTTTATTCCAGCATTTTCATCATCGCAAACGAGAAAGTGTACTTCCGAAGAAATTGCCGAAAAACGAAGACAGGCGATGGAACGATTAAAAAGTCGGAAGCAGAACAAAGCAAACACTTGAAATTCACATATTGAAATTAGTCATTTAAAACGAACAAATCACAAACACTCTTTTTCCTAAAATTCTTTTTTTTTTATTCAAAAACTGAAACTAATTTTTTTTTTGGATATTAGATTTAAAAAAAAACTATGAATATTTTGATCGTGAAATTATTTTCTATTATGAGAATTATCAATGCATCAACAAATAGCGAAAAGAAATCATAATCCGAATCAAGGGATCAGAATTCAGAGTAAAAATTCCATATCCATCGAGTCTGAATGATTCCAAATGATTCAATTGATTCCGGAAAAGAAAACAAATGAAAATTGTCGTCTTTATATTGTTTTGTTGAAAATATTGATAAAACGACAACCTTGAACTATGGCAAATAAAAGAGAAACCAATTTCATAATTTACAACTAAATTCACATTTATATTCGTATATTGTTTTAATATGAAAGAATTTACCATGAAGCAATCATGTGCCATTCTGATTCTGGCTTTTCTAATGAAAAAAATCAGCAAAATAAATAAAAACCACAGTAATGAAAATGCGTCTGTTTGGCTAAAGTTTAATTTTGATTTTAATGCAAATGAAGCATATTCTGTAACAGAAGAAAAGACAAAGGTGAGTTCTGCAGTTTCGTTCAAGCTTGAGTATCAACGGTGTTTGCATGCGACGGACCAACGAATTTTTTCAAATATGCATAATAAAAACCATTTTTCATTTCTTCAAAATGAGATAAGAGAGCGAATTGCATTGAAGGAGGACTAGAACCATTAAAAAAAGGTAAACATAAAAGTTGAATCTTCATTACCGACCAATTTGCATTGTTAACTGCTGCCCTCATACAGCAAACGCACAAGGCACAGATGACTTTTTTTTATTTAATATTTCAAATTTGTGTCCTGGCATGCAGTATGTGTTTATTTTTGTTCGAAGTCAGTTCGTTTTTGTTGCAAATTTTGTTACATCAAATAATAATAAATCAAACAAAAAGTTAACCATAACAATTAGTGATCATTTTGCAAATTGAGAGGTGTACTGTAATTTCATAAAAAAAAATATCAACCATAATATCGAAAACATATAAATTCGATTCGGAGAGAACAAAACGAGAGGCCAGTTCAATTATCCCGAAAATGAAGAGATCAAGTAAGTTTTAGAGTTCAGTTGAAAATGGCTAAAGGACAAATTAGTTTCATATGTATGTTACCCGCAAATTTCAACTCATTTTATCATTTCATAATTTTATCTATGTCTGCAACTACAGATGATGAAATGATGGGCAATGAAACTAAACGATTGGCAGAGGAAATCCACCCGAATAAACAAAATATGTCATTTTGAAGCCAACCCGAGAAAATGTTGGACAGAAAGGAACTTGAAAAAATCAGGGAATAGGCTTATCGAATAGCAGAGAGTATTCGACAAACAGCAGAGAGTATTCGACAAACAGCAGAGAGTATTCGACAAACCAGAGCTCACAGTCGAAGGATCGAATGTCAATTGCGACGTTATCGAATGACAATAAGGAAAGAGTTGTTAGTTTTAACTCAGTTGAGTCGAGACTGAATTTTATTAAACTTCTTATTTACTACGTTACATCAGTTTTGTCAGCTGAGTTAGACTGACCTATTTGAATTCTTTGAAATGTATTGTTTGAATTGACACGAATTGCATTTATCGGATTAAATTGCTTATCTAATCTAAAGATTCGGATTAAATTGAAATTATAACAACAATATTTGCTTTTTATTATTACGTAGAATTGACACTAATTGTTCATAAATTAACTTGCATAACTTTAAAAAACATCATTCGATGATTCATATTTGCATGTTAATAGACAGAATTTAACAAACCGCAGAGAGAATTGAACAACAAGGAGAGAGAATTGAACAAGCCAGAAAGGAAATCGAAGAAATCGAGGATCTGTTCAACCGGCGAATTTTGAATCAATAGAGATAAATAATTGGGTAAGATGCTAATATTGAATTTGTTCTTTATGTTTGGAAAAAAATGAGTACAATTAAAAATCCAGTATAAAATGAAACTGCTCAAAAACACACATTTTATTGTTGCAATTTACGACTCAAAGCAAAAACAAAATAAAAAACATTTATTGTTTATGTTGACTAAATTTGAAATGTTTAGCATTTATATGAAGGGTGATAATTCTCCCCTTTTTTCTATCACTTTTTGCAGGACATTAGCCAAATTCTGGAGAGATGGACCGTAGCTGTGCAACTAGCGATTCAATACAGCTGGTGCCATCTGGAATTTCTGTGTACAGTGTACCGAACTACACAGAATGTGTATGATTTGTTGTTGAAAAGAATAAAAACAGGGCAAAGTAAACGTCAAACGTGACCACAGAGTGTACCTGTTGTGCAGCTACGAGATGGACTATATACAAATAGAAGAAAATCAATTACTAATTACAATTCGCATTTACCATTTTACTTCATGTGTCATTTATTCTGGTTCTAACTTTATAGAAAAACTGAACGAAATAACTAAAGAGAGAATATTGTGAAATGAAAATATGCGTCTATTTAGCTACTTTGGCTTAGGTTTCATTTTACATCGAACATGTTATGGTGCAACCAAGAAAACAAAGGTAAATTCTGCAATTTCGTTCAAGTTTGCGCGCGAACGGCATTTGCATACGACGTATTAGCGGTCATATTTTGAATTTCTTGGGCAGAAACGAAAAAAAAGTATATTTGTTTATCTACTAGCGTTAATCTGTTATCTGAAATGCAATAATTACGGTATTGTTTAGTTGGCTGTTGTTGTTGTTTTGTTTTCCATCTTTTTGTTGTTGCTCACGTCGGTCCGCGGCATAACAGCAAAACACACCGACACTACAGAAGTTGTAATATTTCACTCGGCGTGCACGGCACGAACTCATAAATATAAGAATATGATTTTGTAATAGGTTTTGGGCCGCGTGCGCACAACCACACAACCAACAATAGCCATTTGCCATTTCTTCAAAATGTAATGCAACACAAACACCAGCGAATTAAACACAGAGAGATAGAGAGACCTTATAGGCCAAGCCAAGCCGCCAGATCGGTTGTGATAAAATCACCTCGAAATTCAGACTCTTGTTGATCTCGCTTTCGTTTCAATTCATTAGAGACAATTGTTCTTATTGCCTATGGGCATATATCCAAAGTAGCTGCATAATGTCTGTTTAACCCTTTTACCATCTCGTTGCTCTGATTCGAGTCTCACTTTGCGTCCAATCCAAGTGCAATATCCATTGCAATACATATATAATTATTATTAATGTTATTTGTTTTGCCAAATAAATTACTTGAGAAAATCCATTGAAACGAATTTCATAAATCATATTGAGACCACAACAGCAACCAGTATGGACAGCAAGCAATACCAAGCAACGTCATGACGACGTAAATTTATGTATTTAGTCTGATGTCTTATTAGCTGTTTTCCATATCGATTGATCTGTTGACGGTTGGGAATATGTTGTCGTTGTGTAGGTATCTTCTTGCTATTGTCGCATCGATATTCACCCACTTTGGTTAGTCAATTTGATGCAGATGGTCTGGTTTAACTGGAGCGTAGATACAGTGAGAAAAAAAATGGACGATTCCATTGAAAGAAGATTCGTTCGGAAGAAGATGTCATTCGATGTGGCGATCTTTTGACATTTATGCCATTCAATTAAACGTTTACCCGTTTGACTTCAGTCAGTGCATTCTGATTTTTGCCTTTTCCAAACTAACAAACCAACGTTATTATGCAATCGATATGCTGCTGCTCACATTCAATATTTAATTTTTATGCGCGAAAAATTCGTAGCCATTGTATTGAAAACATTCGACCATTAATGAAAGAAGTAGAAAAAAAAAACGGAGAATTGAACCGACCAAGAAGAGAAAAAACACCGCCGCAAGAATGCGAAAGAAGTAACCGACAACGACAAAACAACAATATTAATCAAAAATCGAATAATAATAGTCAACGGTGGTATAAGTCAATATGAAAAATGGGCGACGTATAAATAAATCTATGCGACGGCCGCACACAAAATCTCTCGTTGCGAATTGTTGAAAATTCAATTTATTTTATGTTTTTGCTTCGCGAAAAATGATACGAAACGCCTGTGCAAAGTGTCACATGCGTTCTTGGTCACACATACTTTGAAATTAAAAACCAACAACAAATGGCAATAATAAAAGCAGTGCTCCGATACAACGATTGAAAATTGTGGCAACCTTACTCTGCTTATTTTGATTACGAATCGTCGAGTAAGTTACGAGTGACTCGAGTGTTTACATTGGGTTTTGTTAAAGGTGACAATGATTATGCACCGCCTTGAATAGATTTCAGATGGAACAGAGACACACACACACATACACACACAGAACCGAAATGCAAGCATTTTCTAGCAAGTACCTTTCCAGCCTAAAGACAATATATATCAACAATAAGTGGGACATTTCATCGATGTTTCGATCGCTCTCTCCGTTTCAGTTGTGAGGAGAAAGAGTGATCGTGCATGATCATACAACAATGGCAACAAAATATCGCTTCATTATATTGCATGGCTGTACGATGTCCAGATAGTACAGGGTTGAATAGCGCACATTTCATTTCTTGAGATACGTAAAATGCCGTGCTCTTGTTATAATTTTACCATTTGAACCAATTAAGCTCGCACACAACATGTTCAAATGTGAGCCATACGCGTACAATTGCGCTCACAGCAAGCCCAACTAAATAAATTATATGTTACAGGATTTTTCCAATGTTTATCCAATCGAATACAAGAGTGAACCGTGCAGAAAAACCAACACCGACCGTTTGTTGCGCATAAACGTTGTTGAATCAGCAATACCGTCGTCGTCGTTGCATCGATTGAGCAACAAATAGCGTTTTATTTTGCTTCTATCGAGAAACGAAAGAGAAAAAAACTGAATGGAGGAAAGGCGAACAGAAAAAAATCGTCAACAACACATAACATTGCGTAAATAATATTTAGCATTCGCCCCTTTTTGTTCTTAATCTAAACTGATAACTTATGCATGTTTTGCATTTTGATTGTTGTTCAAGAAAAATTTATGGAGTGCGTTAATGACAGTATCGTTATAACATATAGCTGTAGCTCTAGCTGTAGCTATATGTACACATTCGGTGTACCTATTTCATTTTTCCCTCGACTGAACCAATTTCAATCACCGACAGCGACAGAAATTCAAAATATGAAGCGGACGAGAGAAAGAAAGAAAAAAAAGCAGCAAAACTCACTTACGCTAAGCCGAAATCAATTAATTGTGATAGACATTTAATTAACAACAGCCCAGAACAAGTTCGATGTTTTTATTCCTTCGTTTTGCATTCAACACCGAAATGCCCATTTATTTTTGTGTCGTTGTTTGCTACTTTGTTTGCGATTTGTAGACCTCGCTTCGTCTGTGGCCACCACATATCCAACACGGTTGTGCACATGCACAAATACCGAATGCTGAATGTCGAATGCATGAGCACAAGCAGATGAAAAGTTATTTAACGATTTTATCGCTAATGATTAAAACCCTATTAATTTGTGTGTGTGTCGCAAATCGCTCGTAATTTTCATGTGGAAAACAAAGATTTTGAGCAATTTTCTATGCGATCTAGGTGTTGATTTAGGCTGTTCGCACAGTAAATGGGTAGCATGTTTTTTTTCTTCGTTTACTGCTTTTTTTTCAGCTATATTCAAATCAGAGAATTTCGTAATAATCTCTTCAATTATTTGGGACATAAAATTGAAATTCGTAATCCTGACACTCGTCGTTTGTGTCCAAAAGTATTATAATTTCCATCAGTATCAGCATTTCACGCTTATATGGTGTTTGTTTGTTTGTTGTTGAAAGAAAAATGCGATTTTCCGTAAAGCGCATATGTTTCAATTCGAATTGATGCGAGCACATACGCACACCGGTCGATTGATCGAATGCAAACAGAACAAAAAATGCAAGTTGTAGCGAGAGGGGAAAAAACGCAACAAATTTATGACAAAATCGTCCGCAGAAATGATTTGTGTATAGCATAAAAGCTCAACGCAAAGTAGAAACATGGCAAATTAGAAGTTGAATGCAGGTCTATTCGGTGCCCATAGCAAAATAACAAACAGCAACAAAATCAACCGCCATACCAAAGTGAATGAAGTCAGTGTCGTGCTCACGCACAACATATTTCTCAGCAATTATGGAATTTGGTCATATTTTTATTGCGTTAGTGGTTCAATTAAAAAATTGCTTGGATTTTTAAGATCGAATTATTATTATTAAATTGAAAATCGGTTTTTGTTAATGGACATTGGATGAATGAAGGTCCATGTGTGAACATCTCTCGTGCGATATGCTCTCAGTTTTGTCCGGGCCCCGTCTGTTTGCTGTTTCAATCGCATCAATCGCGTGTATGGTGACCATTTCTTTGATGCAACTGCACATACCTACATATTTTGTTGTAGGTTTTCCAAGAATCAAGCATACATACACATATCGTTAAATTGGATGCATGACCGTCTACTTAATACTACTAAGTTAGTAGTTTACGTTGCACTGGTTTCCGTTGAAAAATGGAATCGAACGACTCAAATCCGTTGCTATTCACACCAAAAAAAAAACAAAACTTCAAAAAAGAAGAAAAAGCCAAATCAAATCGATGGAATAACAAGCCACAAATTTCGAAATATCACCACATATGCCGCATCTGCTGCTAATATATGCCGTTTTTGAAGTGTGTGAAGGGAAAAAAAGAGTCGCGCGATCGTATGAGAAGAGAATCGGAATATAAGACGTGCGTAAATGATGTTGAAATATTTGAGCCCATTGATGTCGAAGTGGTCAGCCAAATGAAAACACGCACATAAGACCCAAATACTTGAGTACACTCTTTCCGTTCGAAAAAATCGCGCTCAATGTTGATTTTCCCCCATTGACGTGCACTCACAATTCTCAATGATTTTGTTGTGCGTTTTCTTCACATATTCTGTTTCATTTTTTTTATATTAACGTCAGCTTTGCATGCAAACGACCAAGTAATCATTTATCAATTACAATGGTACATTTCATTGGTGCGGAATAACATGCATAATCGAAAAATCACGAAAAAAAACAACATCAACAGCGTTCATGATAGGATTCGATTTCCTTCAAGGAAAATCATTGAATCAAATACATTCGGACCATTCTCAACTATGTGCTCTAGAGCTGACGGCGCAGAACTAATTTTAAGTGATCGTATGTATGATGGTTGTTGTGTGTGTGTTGTATTTTTTGCTTGTTCGTCATCAATTATCACTAATCTCCAATAATTATGGGTAAAATGCTATAAAACGACAAAGTCAACGTGTTGACAGTAATTGCCACGCATATGGAAGCCAATAATAGTTTATCAATTGCAATCATCAGCGGCAACAGTTTAAATTCAAGTTTCACATGTTTTTGTTTGCTCACATTGATATTTTAATATTTTTTGCGGCTTTTTTTTCTCTTCGTCGCATTGATATTGCAAATCAATGAAAATGAAACCAGGTAATAGAGTAATGCCAATTTATGCGTATTTCCCGAGAAGTTTCGGGAAAAATGTAGTTTTTTTTTGCTTGTCTTGAGGTAAGTTGTAAATGATTCAATTGACTTTTATCCGTTGGTGTATGATTTGAGCTATTTGAAATGTGTTAAGAATCATGTGGGGAAATTGTGCAAGTCAGTTGACTTTCTCTCTCTCTCTCTCTCTCTCTCTGACCTTTCGATTGACCAAGAAAATAGAGCAATCATATGCATTTAATAAAAGTATGATGGCCTTAAAACACCTATTGAATTTTTCACGCTTAACATCATAACGCATGAACGCTCAGCTCATGTGACAATTTTTTTTTCTCTCCACCGAACTTAACGATCGATCGTTGAAAAAATGAGATTGACTTTTCGTTACACTTCCATGCCACAAACTTTACAAACATTCTGACAAATGAACATGCTCGTGGCAACTGTCTCAGAATGAATTAGAACAATAGCAGCAGCAGCGACCACGACAAACAACAACAGCAACAACTGAAATTCAATTCAATTAAAATTTTATCGATACAGAATCTATGTCGAAAAAAAAAGTGCTGAGCAAACCGAAGAAACAGACGAAAAAAAAAATGATCGAAAAAATGCGAATTAAACGTACGAATGTCACACACAGTCCGCCAGTTGATTATATTTTTCATTGTTCCATAAAGCGCACTATAGTAAAATGTGTTCGATTATTATGATTAATCCGTATATGCAATGGAATACGGTGGTTTTTGCACATGTCAGGACGACCACGCCGACATCGAAATTGTATTAACTCGAAACGCATTCGCTTTGTCTCTTTTTTGCTCTCACGCACCACATCTAACACACACACCAACAAGCATTTTCTTTCGGCTTTGAACCGATTAATCATTATTTGTGATCGAATTTCATATAAAATGTGAAAAATCACATGATCCAAATTAACCTTAATCGACGTGTATTTTTAATTAGCCTAACTTATGGAACCTGCACTGAATCAATGAAATTTTCGCCAATTTTCTCGGTTGTTTTAATTCATTTTACCAACAAAATCACTATGATTTCAGCTTCGTGAAATTTAAGTGATTTTCCGACCGAAAGAGAAACCAGAAGAATTTACCTGAGACAGCTATGATCGATTCACAATCATAGGGCATCAATTAGCGGATACGATCTTAATTGACAATTGCGAATTGAATGCTGACAATATGGTATGTTTTTTTTTTGACGGTCAAACCTACAAAATGTGCATAAATTGCAACACAACGTGGGCCGGCACGCTCTACAGCTGAATTCTAATGTCATGTACTGCACAGCATTGCGGTGCAATTGTTGTTTGTTGGTGCAATTGTTTTTAACATTTTGCCGTCGTCGTCGTCGTCGTCGCAACCTTACGTAATATCGTGATTGGGCTTAGCGTAGTATGTTTTTGTTGTTGTTTTCGTTTTGCTCTTGCCGAATATATGTGTAGAATGTTTTCGGTGTTCGAGACAGACACTTTTGGGCATATCCAATTGAATTTTTACCATTTCTTAGCCGGCGGTATCGAACATCGATCGACTATGTGTATCGTATGCTGTTGTTTTTGTTGTGGTCGTCGTCGTCGTCATCGACGTCTATTGTGCCAAATGCACATTCGATGCCAGCCAGACAAAAACAAAGTGCCAATGCCGTGCCTAAGCACTCTACAACGAAAAATCAAAAAGAAAAACCAGCAAGACGAACAGATACACAAGTACCGTTAGCACCCATGTAAAATTCACAATTCGCAACTTGACTGATTAACTTGTAATATTGACACGAGTGTTAGCTTTTACATTGAATTGGAATATCGTTAGCGTTATTGTTAAATGAAACACTCTTGGATTTTCTGCTCAATTTTCATAAATATTTGCCTCTTATATGCCTAATGGGCTCTAATAATGACACGAATAAAGACATTTTGTTGCTTGTGCCATGGTTTGTTGGTGTTTGTTTGGGATTTGTCTTCTAATCTAGTCATGAGTGGCATGGCAACTTCAGCGGTGGTTTTAAATGTAATCGGGGAAAATCTTTGACGTTGTTGCGTTTGTTGTTGAGCGGAAAGAGAAAGAGATTGAATTGGTTGTTGTTGTGTTTGTTGCTGTTCGTTTTTTTTGGATTTATTTGTCGTGGTCTTTGGCCCTTGTTCCGAGTTCGACAAAAAATAAAATGTGTGTTTGTGAGTGAGTGTGTATGTTGCAAATACATCAGAGGAAAAAAACACATATAATTGTTTCGTGCGCACCAAATGCACCGACAATCTCACTCTTTTGAACACTTTACACGAGTGTTAATAACATGTCTGGCTGCAGCGCCAGCACCAGCTCCATTGCACCGCACCGCAATGCTTGTGGGAATATTTCTTTTTCTGCACGCTCTTAATCAATGGCTGTGCCAAAAACTGTTAGCTCGCGCACAAACAGATCAACGAGGCACCAAAGTCTATTGTTAATTTGAATTTTTGCCATTATTTGTACGGATCGTGTTGGGCGATGTATTTTTAAAACCAAGAACCGTATTGGTTTGTCGTTGTTGTTGTTTTCTTTCAATATCCAATGCTTCAAGTTCGATAATGTGCGCTTTGAATTTTGAACGATGTCTACTGCTAGCTATTGGGCCAGGTACAGGCAATGCGTATGCGTAAAGCACGACGCACACATCCATAGCATTAGGCCGAAGCAAACTAGCAACATTGATTTAATAAATAAGAAGTAAAAAATAATTCGATACAAGAAACGACTGAAGGAAAGAAGCAAACGAGTTCGTTTTCATGTTTTTGTTGGTCGTTCATTCGCGCTTAAGCGTTGATTGTTTTCAACAATGTGTGTACGCGCGCGCAATTCCATATGCATATGTATCCAACATATGGATAACACACAACCACTGTTTGTCGTGCGCGTAATTCTTTTTATTCAGCCACATTACGGCTCTCTCTATCTATCTGTTTCAGTTGCCATCAATTTTTGCATTGCGTTTCGTTGGTGGCAGAGTTGTTGTTGTTGTTGTTTAGGTGCACATTTTGATTTTTCGGATGGGAGAGAAGTTGTGCCGCCGTAGAATCTTTAATCGTATAAATAGCGCGACTGGGGTCAATCAAAGCACATTCGTTTTAAGTATCTTAACCGTAGAACAACTAACCAAAACCGAAAGCAAAATGTATAAATTGGTGAGTTTTTGGTTTAGCCACACTTCGGATTCAAGAGAAATAGAAACAGATTTATTTTTCCTCTTAAGTTTAGAATTGCATTTTTGTTTTGCCTAAGTCAAGAACTGTGCTGTTTGTTTTTCTAAGTCGAGGAAATAGAAAAAAATATATCAAAATTATCGCGTGAATAAATCCAATAAAGTCGCTAACGAACATTTCAATTGCCAAAGCGAATAACAAATTGCCCGCCAATTGATCAAATTCAAATGATCCAACCGTTATAATATGCAGTATTGTGCTCTGTTTGGATTCTGTGCAAAATAAAATTAATCGGTCTTTGGTAACGGATAATATTCGGATAGTGACTGTTAGACTTCGATCGGAGATTCTCTTCAGAATAGTGCCATAGTGAAATGAGAAACCAAGTCCTGTTCCAGTGTTCAATTATTCTTTTTGTTCGATTGCAGTTGGTGTTGTCATTGGTCTGCTTTGCTGCCGCCTCAGCAGGTCTTCTTCCAGCTTATTCACCATACGCTGCACCATACGCTGCACCATACGCCTCACCATACGGATACACTGCACCAGCTGTAGTTGCTCACGCTCCAGCTGTCACCTATGGAGCCTACCATGCCCCAGCCGTTGTTAAGACAGGTAAATTAAGGGCTAAGGATTTTAACCAAATTGACAAGCCTTTTTATAAGTCGTATCATCTTTGAATCTTTGTTACAGTTGCACCAGCATACGCCGCATACCACGCACCAGTCGTCGCTAAGACTGTTATTCCAGCAGCCACCTCATATGCAAACACCTACAAGGTAAATTGTTCCATCATTTTATCCTTTTATCGACACGAAATTTTGTGCACTTTTTTCCATTTTGGATGAATTCAATTGATCCAATATGGCTGCAATATTGCAACTACGGGCAAACAAATAAGCTCAAACTGCAAATATGAGCAGGATCCGAATATTTTAATTTGTTGTTCATTCGCTTGGATATAATTGAAAAGTGATAACAATTGATTTTCCACATGCTAAATAATCACATGTCTAACACTTCATTTTCAGATCTCATCATCAATCCACCCAGTTGCTGCTTATGCTGCTCCAGTCCATGCCGCTTATGCTGCTCCAGTTCATGCCGCTTATGCTGCTCCAGTTCATGCCGCTTATGCTGCTCCAGTTGTCCACCACGCTGGTAAATATTCGGTTCAATGTTGTGTTTCGGATTGATTCGCCTATGAACAAACAAAAAAAAACACCATAATTAATTTATTTCCCGAAAATCCATTTTGAAACAGTTGCACCCGCTGTCGTTTCACATGCCGTAGCTGCTCCAATTGTGAAATCATATGCTTCACCATACACATACGGACACTACTACTAAATAGTCGTGTAAAATCGTCGTGAATCAGTCTCGAAATTAAGCTCAAATGTAGTCAATGCGCGAAGCAGTTAATCAAGAAACTCTTCGTCATATGGCACTAAACAAACACAAAAAATTATGGTTTCATCACTGACCATCACAAACAACAGTTTCGCCTCACAACAACAACAACAACAGAAATTAAGGAATTTGTTTATATTTAACGAAAGATTTCTTTGACCAGATCGATTGTTGAAATTAACCAAAAAAAAAAACCAACAACATTTATAACATTTTCCTCGAATTTTTCATCGATAATTCTATTTTTGTTTATTATTTAAAAGAAAATAATTTCTACCAGTATTTATTTACGATCGCTTCCCATGTAAATATTACACGTCCATGCCACAAAATTATTATTTTTTTTTTCTGTACATAATTTAGGTCAAGAATTAAAAATCTGTTTTGGTGAAAATGATGAAAACCCAATTGAATAAAATGATTTACTTCAAGTTTTTTTTACAACAAAAAAATTGATACGAAACGCATGTTTTTATTTCACTTTGGTTTGCACTTTAAATCGGTTTTCAGGGTAACGTGTTCATTGACCATGAATTTGAACGTTTGGATAGACTTGATAGCCCATTCAAAGAGGAAATAAAAATTTAACGATCCAAAGGACAAAAAAGCGCACTATAATCACCAAGAGATTATAGTAAATCAATAATAATAGGCTGCAAATACACTTGATATCCTATGATTCATTAATGCACGTATTATGTCGTCGGTTTATGGCGTACTTAATTTTCAATCTCATTCATAAGAAGGAAAGTGAGTTCAATTGAATATATAGCATATTATTGAACACGGTCAGACGTGTGTGCATGTGTGCTTCATGAAACACGTGAAACAATTCCAATTCGTCCATCGATTTCTTAATACCGCAATCACAAATGGTAATGAACCATTTTTATGCAAATCAAAGATGCACACATATGACGCGTTTCACGAAATTACTGACCAAACTGAAAGGTGTCTCGTGTTTGTGTCATAGACACAGCACCGCTCTTACTTTCATGATTGCACATCATTCAAAGGTACAACTGGAAATGGAATTGGTATGCCCTAGTAAATGACACAAATTCGATTTCAATTAATCACGATTTAAATCAAATTGAATACACACAGCCGAACCATTTTCGTATGCATGTATATTGTTTTGTCCGAATGTGAATCAATGGTGCTGTCTAAAACTGGATCGCAATGCAAAACAATGCCGAATTTGTAATTGACATAAAATCCGAAAATTTTCACCAAATTACAATGTGAATCAATTAAACATTATCAAATTCACGATTGAAACGAGATTGCATAACAAATGAAATCCACAAGACGGATGGAAAAGCTCATGGAATTTTGTAATGACACACAATTTCACAGCTGTAAAACCATGGAGAGAAAGAGATGCAACCACACACACACACACACACACACACGAAACTTTACATTTTCACATTCAAACAAACAAAAATTCCCAGCGGTAATTAATCGACGCTGCGCATCGAAGGAAATGCAATCGTAGAATTTTCCACATGAATCGACGAGTCTCAGCTCATTTTGTTTAATCGACGTCATTTAATTAAATAATATGTGCTTGTTTTACACTTTAACCGACCGATTTCAACCTCATAATGGTTAATCAATTAGCAAAACATCTTAAATAAATTATTCTCTATCAATGCGATTATCTAACCCAGGGAAAAATTAATTGTATTTACAAGAGAAAAACTAAGCACATACACACACTCCAGCTGTGACTATAAGTATGTATAGTATATGATTGGATTTGATCGCAGTGATGTGAATGAAACGGTGAGAAGTGTGCTTGATATGGAAGAAGAAAACAAGCTTTTTGTTTTGTTTTGTTTTTGAGTTCGGTGTCTAGGAACAAACAGCAAATATGTTACCGAGCGTTTAGAAAAGTCCGAGACGACGGTAATGTCGTTGTCGTCAAAAAAAATGCCATGTCGATTAGTCGGATTGGAGCAGGTTTTTCTTAGGTTATGCATTCGTTTTCCTTTACCATGTTGCATTTTTACGAAATTATGAAATATCAGTCGTTTACTTTTTTGAGAAGCGATTGAAGAAAAACATCAAGCGAGCATACAACAGCAACAACAAAAAATGGCATAGTCGCACCAACACGGTACGCGAATTGAAGTCAACGAAAAAGACGAAAAAAAACGATCAGAACGCCTTTTCAAAATACTATATCGAAACCATAATGAAAATGCGTTGATATTTACAATATCCGGATAAAATGGTGCGCCTTAGCTGAAATCGGGCTACGTTTCGTCGAAGATTTATGGAGCTCAAGACGAAAAGGCCGCAATCGACATCAACAATAAAGACAGCAACATCGAACAGAGATAGAAAAAAAGTGAGGTGATTTTGTCACCTGGTTTTCGTGTGTCGGCTCTTGATCGATTGCATTGGCATGAACGAGATTGGTTTCAACCGGACACTGAGTGGTTTGCGCTCTTTCTCAGTTGGTGCGGCGAAGTATCTAGAATCGACCCAGTTACGTGTTGATATTTGTTTCGTCTCTCCCTCTCGTTAATTATTTATTAATATTAATCATTCGGATGAAATGACATAATAGCGCATTAATGCCGATGAAATGCATCGGCAAATATATACAACACCGCTTCGTACACACAGCACACAGCACACAAATTAATCGAAACCAAATCAGCCGTAACGAATTGTATGCAACAGCAACAGTTCCAGTGCAAAATGGTTGTGTTTACTAATAATAATTAAAGGCGAACTGTAGTGTGTACAAGAATTAAGAATGCCGCATATACAATGCGGTACCCGGGCCACCACATAAACGGATGACAAAATGTGTGCATGTGTGTGTTTGTTGTGACAAACAAATATGCATGCCGATTTATTGAACACAGAGTGACAGGGCGAATGCACTAATTACAACCTTCGTTTCCATCTCTCGGCACGCTGTACACCACGAGAGAATACACACGCACGGTCAGTGAGCATGAGCATGAGCATACATCTTGTGAAGTTACAAACACCTTATTTATTTTAAAGCACTAATTGATTTGCCATATCGCTCTGCTTTACGTATGCATCATGTGGCCAAATGTAATTGTTAAATCTGAATTCAGAGCAGCAATTTTCCTAATATGGTTGGCCAATGCATCTTGCTAAAGCGTGAGATTTTTGGTAAATGATGCTCACGAGGTTTGCACCGAGATTTCGGCATGAATTTGTGGCTTTTTGACAGTCGAACAACACATGATGGTGGCTGTACAATACAGATCCAGGCAATATCGCAGTACCACGCGATTGAGGGCCGTCATCGCGATCCCATCAAGTGCTTTGTATCGCATGGTTTGACAGCATGGTGTGCAATTGGATATTGATATTAATTGTCACCTTCGGCCATATGCAAAATATAAGTTAACATTCAAATCATGGCCTCAATCGGCGAGTATTGTGTCATATGCACACACACACACACACTGCATCAGCAACATGATTAAGTGGCCAATTTATCCAACGAACCAGCCTCTCTCTGAGTCGATTGATTAGAAAATTGTGCATAATATTACGTTAGAGACGGATCGCTGTTGGCCGATAGCTTGAAATCTGATATAGACATCATTGCCTTAACTGTTCGACTTGTCTACCGATTATTACATTATCCAAATTGAATGATCTGATCTACAGAGAGATGATATCGATCGATAAAAGAATCGCTTAATGTTCATATTCTCATGTGATTAATCGGGCTTTTTGGTGTGTTCGCGCGCTCGCGCGCAAAAAACTCTGGTCTCTGATGGGATTTTGACAGACCATCAACGAGCACGCAAATTACACAGTTGCCTGATTTCAAGCACACCAATCTGTACATATGTAGAAGTATATCGGCCAACCTCAAATCATTATACACAGAGAGAAACATAGCATGGATGCAATGTGAATAAGAGACACAGAAGCAGAGAAAGACAGTTCGACGAGAGAGAAAAAAAAGTAGTAGCCTAACATAAAGACGACAACTTGAAAAACAAAGTACCACTTGTTACCACACATTACATTTGATTATTTTGATATGATGAAAGAAAAACGTGACAACATCAAGAAAACTACAATATATCAAAACCAGTTTACCTATTTTGCGAATTCACAGCACACATCTGCGTTGAATTGAGAGTGTTGTGTGCTGCTCTCATGGGAATAGTTTACGACTCAATTTGACCGTAGTAGTTGTTCGTGTTTTTCTTTACCACAGCTTTAAAATTAGTGCAGGAGATATTCTGTTGAGAATGAAGTCGATATGGCCATAAACGATGCAACGCACATCGAAAACTACTCAGTGCTCATAATGGTTAATTTCATGCCTGTAAAATGAAATAAAATTACTGATGTGATTGTATGAAGACACGACCCAATATCATTTTTTGTATGAACAATTCAGATGCTTTTTTTTTAAATGCATGTTTATTAGGAGTACTCCAGATTAGACTAGAAGACGGAAGAGAATTGAGAATCATTCTAAGAATTTATTCAAAAAAGTGTCCAACTATTAAAATTGTTTCTATTCGAAGCATTTAAATTGCTTTATTGAATTTACTCAAATTGATAAGTCGAGATTTACCCAAAACGAAACACCTCTCAATCAATTTCCATTCATTGCGAAAATATTATAATGATTAAAACACGATTCTTGTACACAATAAAATTACACACATTAAATCATCTTGAAAAATTGAGATGAGTGAAATATATCGTTGAATTGAATGCTCATTGACTACGGGATTGACTGAAATTAAAGTCGATTTTGGTTGATTTTTCTAAGTATTAAGGGCTAAAGCTCATTTTGAAATAAAATATTTCTCTCAAATTGAGGGTCTCATCTCACCGAAAGACAGACAAAAACAACGTCAAACTTGAAGAGCATACGTTTCAATATATAACACTTTTCTCTCGGCAACACATTTTAGATGAATCGAATGATGGAATCAATAACGCATTCCCTGTTCATTCTCAAAAAAGACTATTCTGAATGCTTTCAAATTGTTTTGGAAATTTATCGATTAGTTTCCTACATCCACAATGTTGTGATTTGGAAAAATCAAATTCTTTATTGACACCGTCGAATCGACATTAAAATCCAACAAATTTTTCGTGCAAATGATAATTCAAAGGAATAAAACTTAAATTATAAATAGCTTTTTGCGAATGAATCAATTGGTTTTGAAATTTTTGATACGCGCTAAAAATATGTTGTTGTTGTTGTTGTTGTTGTTGTTAGATTTTATGCTTCTGTTTGCGATCTCATTTTCTATGCCGATTCCATTCGATTTGTATGCGACTGCATGCATAGTGAAACATCAAAAATTTGTTTTTGTGGGAGCATCATGCGAGTGCGCATAGCATCGATGAGAAAGAGAGCCCATGTGTGATCTCTTGTGTGCGCACTCGTACAATTGTATAGTTGTCACTTGGAAACG